AGGTAAATAATATTAGTCACTTACGTATATACGTGTATGCTTATGGTCGCCTGTTTGGATTTAAGTGGACTATGAAATGTAGAGAGTCAATAGTATTAGACATAGCTAGATGCGTATATGTATTTTTTTTAATGCATGTTTGTTTTTGTATGAAGATACTATGAAACAATCAAGGTAAATAATATTAGTCAGATAGGTATATACGCATCTGCTAAAGGTCGCTGTTTTGATATCAGTGGACTATGAAATATAGACAATCGATTGTATTAGGCATATATCTATATGACGATATGTATTTGTTAATATAAGTTTGTTTTTCTGAGCAGCTACTAGGAAATATTCAAGGTAAATAGTATTGGTCACTTAGGTATATACTTATATACTTACGGTCTCCTATTTTGAATAAAGTGAAATTGTGAAATATGGACAGTGTGAATAGTGTGAGTGTTTTACGTAGATATGGTGATAGAGGTATGAATGTGTAGGTCAGCTAAATGTGATGATCCTCTGTTTTGCATAGTTGGCGAAGTTTCTGTATATAGTGTTGGATGAGTTCATATGTGCTAGTGGTAAAATGATGGAATCGTCTGATATGTGCAATTTGTGTTTGATTTGGTGTGTCTGGTTATTAGTTATCGTTTTAAATTGAATGGTTTGTTGTAGGTTAATATATGGTGAATAAATATTTATCACAGCAATAATTGAAAGGTTATATATGGATCTGTATAGGAACAGTAAATCTGAAAGAAAAAATAACACCGATGAAGAATAAAATTCGAGAAAAATTGATGTCGGAAGGTCACGAAGTAATATTTCAGAGGACTGCATACAAATAAATAATTCTAAATAGCTCATAGAACTCTTAGCCCCTTCATCCTATTGGAAACCAAGTGTTTTACTTTGTTTTAAGTGCGACAGAAGTCAAAAAGTCTATTTTATGGAGTATTTAAATTCCTGAAAATATGTAATCTCGGCTTTTTTGTACTTATCCTTTCAAGCAATTTCGAAATCTTTTCGAATAGTAACTGAACAGAATGATGGATGATATTATTTCTACGAAGAAGCTCATCAACTTGATTAACAATAGTTGCTACAGACGCTTCATAAGGAGAACGCCTTTACAGTACGCAACTTCTACCATGCATTTTATACAACTTTTCCAAACGATCTTCTCACGAGAAATATAAAATACAATGGTATCAAGATAATTTTATATAATGTTCGCTATGTACATTACCTTGTTATAATTCGCACAGACTGTCGTTTGCCAATGATGAGAATATGAATATAACTTATCGAAGCTGTTCTATGTTTGCAGCTGAAATACTATGGTGCTTATATATACATTGAAACATATGCTTAGCCTTCGACCATCGAACCATGTCGAAAAAAACATCATACGATCACTTGCAAGGCCTGTGTGATTGTCTACTCGGAAAAAAATATTACATGATCACTTGCAAGGCCTGTGTGATTGTCTACTCGGAAAAAAATATTACATGATCACTTGCAAGGCCTGTGTGATTGTCTACTCGGAAAAAAACATCACATGATCACTTGCAAGGCCTGTGTGATTATCTACTCAGAAAAAAACATCAAAATTATTTTCGTCTCCGTTCGTCTTTCTTACAGCTAAGCAAAGCCTACTCAAAATAAAATGTGCATCATTAGACACGCAAAACAAAATGATGTAGATGTATATTCATAATTATCATGCAAAAAACACAGCAACAAGATTGAATACTAACTCCTAGTGAAAAAAATCATGACTTTTTAAATGCAATTCGAGCAAGGGCAAAAGGCGAGACTTCGTACTTTACTGTACTTCACTCGTACTTCACTTGGACTTCACTCGTATTTCACTGTACTTCACTTATACTTTACGTACTTCAAATTTTTTTGAAGTAGATGAAGTCTTACTTTTCCCCTTGATTCGACCATACAATAAACTCTATGTGTGATTCCAAGAAAATAACTACTAATTTCTTTTGAAGAATAGTCTCACAACTCAATGAAAAATAAATTTTCTTCCATCCAAATATATTATTTTGTGTCTTTGCGTCATTTCAGAATCTAAATCAGGTATAAGGATTATTCAATGCAATTTTTTTCTCTATTTAGTTTACTTTAATATCAAGATGAGGATCGAAGATTCTTCGATAGTAGTACATTATTTTCTTTCTGTGAAGTCTTTTTGGCATTAAAAATACGGTAAATTTCATGCAATTCGAATATTTAATTTTTGTAATTACGACCATCTAAGCAGCTACATCCGTGCTAACGATTATTTTGATACACACGATTCGTCGTTTTTTTTCCTTTATCTCTTCTTAATGTCGGCATGACAAATCGATATTATTATACACAAATATTTCTTTTTCGTTCTCTACGCTTATTTAACGTAAAAACGAGCCACGTGTATAATTCAAAATGAAAAATTTTCTCTCTTCAAAGAACATTCGAATGTTCGCGTCACATTGACCACTATCGACAGCAACATATTTCTCGAACAAGTTCTTGCTACTTCTGCAACATCGAAATCAACCATCAATATTATTCACTAAATATTACTTTTTCTATATTCCTGTTAAGCCAACGTATAGATCATAATTTTATTCAAAATGAATATATACTTTTTCTTAACATAAAGTGAGAGGCCGATACTATTATATATAAATAATGCTTTTTTCACCCTCATTTCTTCTAAACACACAAATCAACGATGAATACAACTCAACAAAATTCTAATTTGTCTATTTAGATCATCCAAGCATACCGATTACCGCTAACGATTATTAGATTCTCATATGCACTTCTCCTTCTCTTATCGTTTTTCAGCATAAAAATGAACAACCAACATCATCAAATCAATTTTTTTCCTCTGTAGGCCATTCCAGAGTCGGGCTAAATTGCTCGAAGTAATCATACTCAAGAAAACTCTTATGTTATATGAAACTTTAAAAAATTATTTATTTGTAAGCATAAATTCATTTTATGTTCTTTTATTTTATTTTTCCATGTAGATGTTCTTATAGAAAATGATAATGTACAGTTATAGATGGTGATGGTGCCACTATTGTTATAGATCAAGATCAATACAGTAATAATGAAATAAATCGAAAATTAAAATTTAATTAATTNTTCCTCTTAACTTCAGGCTTTTTCTTGATTTCTTTTGATTGCGGGGTAGGGTCTGATCTTTCCTATCTAATAGTATAATAGATTGATAATGGAAGTTATATAGCAGTTTCTGTTCTTGCATTGTACTTGTGATAATGATTTTGATTGAACCATCGATCGATTTGTTTACGTTGTTGTATGTAGTTGAAAATTTCGATAATTACGGAAATTTATTTTTCGGAAGTTAAAACGACTAATTCTCATTTGCAATCATAAATCAGATAAAATTTTAAAATATTATTAAAACTTTAAACTCTAGTCAACATTCGAGCTTAAAAAATAAACTTTCTTTTTCCAAAACTACAAAAGCTTAATTAATTTAATTTTCAAGCTTTAATTCATTAATGCTCATATTTAACAATTTTCACTTTCGAGTTTGAATCGCATAAAGTTTGGGAAAATACATAGTGTACTGTTGTTTTCTCTGTAATTCCTATATTTTGGTTTAGGAAGACGTAGAGTCCGCTAAAATATCTAGCATAAATCTAACTGAATATAGAAAAAGATTTAGAAATGTCGCCAGTAGTCTGTTTGAAGCTAAGTGAATGTGGTCTGAAAGTGTCACTTCTCATTTCGGATAATTAGTCCAAGAATATGGCAGCAAAACAAAATTAGTTTCATATTTCAAGCAATTTTGATTCAGAAACCTTTATCAGTTTTTGATTAATTATGAATTATGCTGCTTTATCGCAAAGAAGATTTAAAAAGTGAGATGTAATGTTCAGTAAACTGTTTTAAAAAATGTCAATGAAGTCCTGCGGCATTTTAGACTAGATGACTGGAATAGGTTGATCGCATGAGATTTTTTCACAAATCCTTTTGCGAACATAGCAAGATCATAGATTTAGTTTAGGTACTATGAATGTTAATCTTAATCAGAAAAGCTTTTAGGAAGATGATATTCTTAATTCTGATAATGAAAAACAAATCCTAATATAGCTTGAGCAAGGAACGAAAAAGAAGAAAGTTTCGATGAAGATTGAAGGGAGATTTTGAACTGTTTCTCTCATGTTCGGTAAACATGAGCCAATATCCATTCAAGATGTGACTTCAGTGAATGTTTGTTCGACGAGAACTCTAATACCTGCACCTAAATATTGTCTCGCTTATATTTTTGCGACAGTTATCGTTGTTGAATAATTATATTTTTGGGTTCCAATCGATTTCTTTTCAATGGAATGCTGATCTTATGTTTTTATAGAAAATAAATAGAGTTCCAATATAAAAACAGGCTTATGAAGTCTATATTGGTAACTCGGTCTAATTAACTCTAAATATGAGACTTAGTTTAGAAAAAGAAGAAGAGCAATACGTAGTCTAGAGCACTCTACTAATAAGAGCTGAATGAATTGAAACTCTTCAAACCTATAACAAGCAAACTCTACAAATTTTGATTCTTCAAACAAAACTGCTGTTAAAATTCGTTTCAGTAAAAAATTTTAAATAACAAAAGCAAATGATTTTAATTTTCGGAGCTCTTTTCAGGAAATGAGTTTGAACGAATTAAAAATCGAAAATTTGACACTTTCAATCGCTTTTAATCTGGAACATTGAAATTAATTAAAAAATGAAGTATAATTTAATTGAATAAACTTTGAATTTTCGACTGTATGTTCGCAAATGAGAGGATACCGTTAAAACATACCTCCTATTGAAATACCTTGTATAAATGCACAAGAAAAACAAAAGCTGAAAGACATATTTGATAAGAAAATTGTATTGATTACTAAAAATTAACCTACTAATATATAGAAAGAAATTTTCGCCCTAGGGTGACGCTACTCATCGGGAAAGGGATTGAAGAAAAGTATAAATGGTGTTCAAAAATAGGAAGGGTAAAAAANACTTTCTTTTTGAATATTATAGTCGCTGAGTGTTCGACCATCTTCAAGTTGTTTGCCAGCAAAGATGAGTCGTTGTTGATCAGGTGGGATACCTTCTTTATCTTGTATCTTGGCTTTTACATTGTCAATGGTATCACTTGGTTCGACTTCCAATGTAATTGTTTTTCCGGTGAGAGTTTTAACAAAAATCTGCATACCACCACGTAAACGAAGAACTAAATGAAGTGTACTTTCTTTTTGAATATTATAGTCGCTGAGTGTTCGACCGTCTTCAAGTTGTTTGCCAGCAAAGATGAGTCGTTGTTGATCAGGTGGGATACCTTCTTTATCTTGTATCTTGGCTTTTACATTGTCAATGGTATCACTTGGTTCGACTTCAAGTGTAATTGTTTTTCCGGTGAGAGTTTTGACAAAAATCTGCATACCACCACGTAATCGAAGAACTAAATGGAGTGTACTTTCTTTTTGAATATTATAGTCGCTGAGTGTTCGACCGTCTTCAAGTTGTTTGCCAGCAAAGATGAGTCGTTGTTGATCAGGTGGGATACCTTCTTTATCTTGTATCTTGGCTTTAACATTGTCGATAGTATCACTTGGTTCGACTTCAAGTGTAATTGTTTTTCCGGTGAGAGTTTTGACAAAAATCTGCATACCACCACGTAAACGAAGAACTAAATGAAGTGTACTTTCTTTTTGAATATTATAGTCGCTGAGTGTTCGACCATCTTCAAGTTGTTTGCCAGCAAAGATGAGTCGTTGTTGATCAGGTGGGATACCTTCTTTATCTTGTATCTTGGCTTTTACATTGTCAATGGTATCACTTGGTTCGACTTCCAATGTAATTGTTTTGCCAGTAAGAGTTTTAACAAAGATTTGCATTGTTATTGTTTAATAGTAAATAGACTAAGAGAAGAAATAAATATGTTTTACTATAATGAATGAAGTAATGTGAGAAAAATTGCTGTTTTTATATGGTATGTCTTGTGACAATGAGTCAGTGTTCGATCGTTCTAGACGACGGTAAAAGATTTCAGGTAGAATAATAATGACACACTGTAAACAATGACAAAACAGAAAAAAAAAGTTTGAATGAGTAATTGGGAGTAACCGAGAAAAGTGACTCATTGAATCAATAGGAAAAGATGTGCTTCAGAGGGCGCTGAAAACTTCACACTTTCTCCATTATATTAAATAATGAAGTTTCTGATAAATATCAATTCATACTTGTGTTTTTTTATAAAGAAAAAAAAATTTCTTGAAGATCACCAAATCAAAATTATAATTTTGTCATACGTAATTATGCTAGAATACAAACATACGATCCGTTTTATTCTATTTTCATCATATTGTGTATATTTCATGGCTATAAAACAAGAAAAAGTGGAGATCCTCAATTGAAATATGACATTGATAAGTAAATAATAGACTTGGGATGTATTTAATCATTTCTTAGTCATGCAAGCAATAAACATTCTTTACCACGCTACAGTTTCTCTATGTTGACTTATTATGACGAGCATGAACGAAAAACTTGTTTGTATTCCATATAAATAAACACATTTGATGGCCGAAGGTACATTAATAAGTAAAGAAAATCTCTGAAAATATTCTTCTTTCAAAAAAAAAAAGACTAAAGTTATATTTAAAACGAATCGTTAGTTTACTAAAATTCCATCAATATTATGAGAAAGAAGAACAAGAAAGAGGATATGATAATACAAAATGGCGCGACCATATTAACAAAAAAGAAACCTTATTTATTTATGTAAGAGGTTTAATTTAATACCACGAAAACAAATTATCATCAAAAAAATAAATGCTTCTTAATATGAATGAAGATTTGAATTTATTACAAGAAAAGATTTCAGTTAATCTTTTCTTTGTTTCAGACAATACTGAAACATAACATTCATACTATTATTAGCAAGCTCAACTAATTAGCAATTGGACTTATCTTCATTAATAAAAACTAACAAATGCCTAATAAGAACTGACATATTGATCCATGAAACGTTTCAAGGGTAGCATTGTCTGGAGTATAAGACACACGCGAGCAGTTATATTTATTTAATTTCGTGATCTACTTTACTAATAAAAACAGAATGATTGTGAAGTAGCAGAATTCTCAATAAAATAATAGGACGACATTATGAATTTGTTGAAAATGTTTCTTAGGTATGTAAGCTTAGCCATTGAAAGGAGGTAAGGGGGTAAAATTTTGACAGCTTGTAGCTGAGATAGTTCGAGTTTCGTGTACATTTCTGTTTCGATTTTAACGAAGGAGTACTACTTCAAGTCGTGGGCAATGTTTACGCATACAAAGTTTAATATTTTGTCCAGAATGTTTTCTGAGTCTGCTTCACTAAGAAAATCTTTACTATTGATCTCGGAAGGCTGTAAAAAAATGTTGAAGTTTATACAAGGATTTCGATGAACTGCATTAATTTATTAATCTGATCCAATGAAAGACAAGCGTTTGAGCCTACCCAAGTCTCGTAGCGTTGCGCCTATGATTGAAAGAAAAAAACCAATAAATATATTTGTAAATGTAAAATAATATACTAAATGGAATAAAAGTTCACTAAATTTTGCAGCTAACAAGTCAAACATATTATCCATAAAAGTCATTTATTTCATTTCGAAGAACGATATTATTGTTTCTTTTGCTATTAGTATCCGCATTATTAATTATTTGAAATTATTTCATTGATTTCAAAGTATTCGTCTGATATTCTTTGACATAATTGAAGAATGTAATTGTTTTTATCGTTTTGTTGTTGCTGCTACTAATAATAAATAGTATTTAATTAGAAACCGAAGCAAAAATATACGGTTTGGAAAATTCACATGGAATCGATTAACCAATGTAATCCTATGCTGTATTCACTATTCGAAGAAGATTATTCATTGATACTCATTCATACAACTTGATGAATAAAGGACTAAGGACGATTTGTCCACAAATCGGTCCTAAATGAAAGTCAGCTTGTAAATCAGTTGTACCTTAAAAATAATGCTTCTCCCTTCAGTGCTAAACCACTCTAGGTGTACATGAGTGATTTCCCTCAACATTTCACAGTTCATCAATTTATCCAGAGCCAATTTCTGCCTGAGATAGCATCATGCAGTGCCTATAATTAATAGGTTCATCAATGTGAAAGTGACGTTTTGTCAAGGACAGAGACGGCATTTTAATAGCTACAGAATGATGCCAAAATATTGATGTAAATATGTTGTCCTGGAAATTTTTTAAAGAATGTACCGATGAAAATAGATGGGAAAGGCATAGCATTGATACTGGTTTAATGGGTCGGGCTGTAAGGTATTCAATTGAAGAATGCACCGTTCACAAAACTGACGATATCGCTTGTGTTTGATCTGAATTGTGCACAGAAAGCCTTTCCGCTACTAGAGTCGTTCAGTTTAACTTAACAGTTAGCATGAAATTATGTGACATATGCGGCTTGTATTCTTAGTTCCGCTGGTATACCATAGTTGTTGTGAGAATCGGATGGATAAGCACGATGTTCTATTCTTTGTACTTAGAACTTTTGTTTCTCGCTGTAAACAATTCCAGAGAATGTTTTCTTTAGAAATCTGAGTTTAGTATTAAAAACAATCGAAATCCACTAAGGAAAGAAACAGCTGTTTCAGGATCTATTTTATGAATAAAGTTTGCGGATCCCCGTGTATTATAAAGAAACTCATCTCAGAATCAGAACAGATTTAGGTTCTCTTGATGTTGCAGGTAGCTGAGTCACATGTACACTATAAGAAGGCATCCAAGCCAACCGATTCATGTCAGTTTGGACAGACCTTTAAACAATGCGCAGACGTGCCGCTACAATACATCGTGATAGACCACTGCCACAAAAAAATGTGGTCTACCGCCGATTAGCACACAATATAGCGACACATATAGTGACGGTCCACTGGTAGTTCCCATCTGGTTCGAACCGTATTCGTTCTAAATATTCGAGATGACCTGAGAAATGCGGTTATGATTCATACATATTGGAGTCATCCACTATCTAGTGTATAAGCGGCATGGAGCTAGAACATCTCGACAACAATTGGCGGCCAATGCAGAAAATCTTCATTACACAAAAAGTCGTTCTTAGTTTGAACCTCTCTCCGAAATCAGAAACATAAATATCTGTACACGTTAACTTCATATCAGAATATCTATGTATTTCTTTACCACTTTCCCTTCAGAAATAAACTCATCATATATCACTTCACAACGTTCACAACCGGTTGTAGTATACCCATGGAACCCGCGATCCAGAAACCAGACGCTAATCCTGATGAAGAGCAATATGTCCCATACTCAAAGTCATTCAGATCTCATCTATTCGCTTTAACAGCTTACATATGATAGCACCGTGATCACAAAAGTCACTTGAAAATCATAAGCTAACAAGACTGTCGATTACAATCTATCATACTCTCGATTATAACTTTCGAACTGTTTCAAAGGCAGCATCATTTAAAACATATTTTCACATCGACTTCTAGCTGTGAAAATACTACCTCAGTCCTAAAATAATGGCTGCGGTACCATGATTGACCCTGACATGTTGTAAACACGACTGTCAAATCTAATTCTGTTTCGCAGAGTTACAACAGTATGTACTTCGGAAAATATCTACGGCAACATATTTGCATACATATTTTGGCATTGCTTTGTAGCTCTCAAAAAATTCCATGTGCCCTGAAAAAATGGCCCCGATTTTATGCTCGACGGCAGAGATCTTGTGGACACAGCTCTCAAATCTAACGCCTTTTATATAGGCTTATATCAGTGTGTACTTAAAAAAATATCGAGCACAGCATATTTCGGTACATATTTTACTATCATTCTGTAGCTCTCCAAACGCTGTGTCTATCCTTGACAAAACGTCACTTTCGCATTGATGAACCTAGGGATTGTGGGCGCTGTATGATGCTATCTCAGGCAAAAATCTGCTCTCGATAAACTGATAGGCTGTCTAATCGAATGGGCTATGAAGTGTTGAAGAAACTCACTCATGTACATCTAGAATGGTTTAGTGGTGAAGGGATAGGCACTTTTTTAAAGGTACAACTAGTTTTGAAATTGATTTTCATTAAGGGCCGATTTGTGGACAAACTGTCCCACATCCTTTACGCAATTTATCAATTTATATACATTATAGATCAAAACGTTGACCCTGTTGAAGCAAAAAAAACAAAAGTTCTAATTGTGTGTGGGTATGTAAGAGCTACCACGGCACGTTTTGACTGAGACTCAATTTAGTCTTCATATCGTGGCTAAGTCTCTAATACAATTCAATATAATAGATATTAAATCAAGTCAAGACAAAATTTTACACTATTCTACCGAAGTAGAATGGTAAAACTAAACACGGGGTGTGGTCAAAGCAACCACGATCGATTTTGCCCTTGTTTACGGTTTTTTTGACAGCCTCAAGTGTCATTCCGATTTGAATTCTCGAAAGACTAAACTAGCACAAATTGTACAATCGAGACTGATTCAAGTGGGTTCTAAAACTAAAAAGATTGATGTTTCTCTTTATGAGATTGAAGTCGGTGAGCATCTGTTTCTATCTGTGACTCTTTTATTTATACGATAAAATTGGAAGTATTCTGTGAAATATGGGTCGCTATGATACATAAGTATTAGCTTAAATTTAATTCTTGCGTAGCATCTCTTATCGATCTCGCCACGTCATCCGATTGTATATTTTTTATCCATATTTTGTCGTACTGCTTACCATCGTTCTCCATAATACAATTGTCTTGTGCTTGGAGAGTGCTTTTTGTCATGAAGGGAAGATGCTGCCATTCTTTCAGTAAGGATGTGTGTTGAGGTTCGCTTTTGAATCATTAGTTTTTCTGTGGGACGTTTTAGTATTATGGTTTTTCTGCACTTCTTACGTTGATAATGTGGTTGATCTGAAATCAACAAAAAAGAATGGAATCCAGCAAGAACATCTAATGTTAGATGTGAAAATTGAAATAATGCTTTTTTTTTATTGATGCCTAAAGATGTTTAAGAAACCACAAGTCACTCTAACTCTATGGTTCGTTTAATTTTTTATGCAAAAATTCGATTTTTTTCCCCATAGTTTCAAACGAATTAGTTGGTTTCTGTTTCGCTCATCGTCTTCTTTTTTTAATTTCTCTACTATGCTGATATGTTGTAAGTGTTATATTTCGTCTTGTACTTGTGCCAGATGTTCTAAGATGACAAATCCTTCGAGTTCGTTCACTCGTTCCTGTTCCCATCGATCTTTTGGATCTATTTGCTCCAAGTCATAGGGCTCCAACTGTACCTTGTTGAAAATCTCGTTGCTTAATTCTTCGAATGGATCTCGACGGTGCCAGCTATTGATATAGTGTTGTCCTTTTTAATCCATTTGCCATAGAGTTGTGGGTACATGATCGTTGCGTTCATTTCTTCTTTGCTGTCGTCGTTAGATTCGAGTGTGCGTGTGGGTGTGGATTTATGTGAATATGTGTGTATCACTTCTCTTCATCTATACCTATACCCACACCCACACCATTTTTAAAGATCAAACGTAATTCTGTATTGGAATCAAATAAAAATATGTAAATGTTTTCTTTAAAAAAGTTTTTGAAATCATGTTTCAGTTTGTCTATGAAATCTATGCTTGTCTTATTATGGTTCCAGTTCAGAACCTCAATAAGTTTATTTTATAAACAATAACCTAACTGGAATACATACAGAAAATTCAGCGGTCAACAGTATATATTATAACGCGTGAACAAATAGTTTCAGTTTTTCATTTATAATTTATTTTGCTATTGAGTTTGTCATACTGAGCGATGATTATTTTTAATTAAAAATTTTGTTTGAATCAAGAAGAAAAAAATATCGAAAAACTCCTCTTATTTGTCAAGATATATTCTTATGCTAGTCATGATATAGAAAGGGCTTCCATATAATAGGCATTCTCTATGCAAATGAATTCATAAGAGTACATTTTGTTAACAAGATCGAGGACTTTTTTAATATTTCTCTCAATACAATAGAAAAGGGTATCGAACTGCGTAGAATCATATATATTATTTTTGTTCAAAGGCTTGTTTAACTGATTTAAATTTGTGACACACAATCTCAAAAGAATGTTGATGTAGGTAACGGGTTAAAGCGCACCTTAAAAGAATTTTCTTTCAAAACTGTCCTTAGTGAACATATCTTTCAGAAATGATCCTTAGTGATATGGCCCTCCGAAAAACTATCTTCCACCATTCAAATGTCCTTTCAGTAAAACATGGGTTACGCTCAATGATAATATTAACCACGTAATATAATTTATTATAACGAACAGAATTTTATTTTATTTTTCAATTACAATGAAAAAAAAAGAATGTTTACATAATAATTCTTGCGCCGTAGTTCGTTTATTGTTGAACCTATCATACAATTCTTTCATTTGCTGCTTTGTAATCCTCGACTGAGACAACTTTGTACGAGATTTCATCTTTGAAAAACAATAATGGAGGATGAGGTACATTGTTATCAAAAATATTTTTTAAAGGATATTTTTTGAAGAACGCTTTAGACCGTATTCTTGAAGTATATGGGTAGAAATTCAGACCTCACCCTTCTTCCCACAAATGTGACAGAGATCTTTAGCTCGTGTCTCCTTTATGAAAGAGCGTGGTACATGTTGTTAATATACGATCACATAGACACTATATCAATGGGTGGTCGGAATTTTTCCAATCGGAGAAATTCTCTAGAGTGAGGCGAAGCTGGGCGAAAGTGCGGTGCGCTTTCGCAAGCTGTCACAAAACAATATTAATATAGGATACGTGTGAGGGCTGAAGCTAATATTGTTCGAATGTATATATCAAAGCTTACACTCAGGAATGTGTTTCAATATGGGTGAGTCATGTTTTTAGCAAGAAAAAAAAAGCGAGATTAATATGAAAGACAAATGAAGCATAACTTGATGTTCGTCTCACGATGAATATGATGAGTCTGATTCGGACATATCATTCTTGTTTTTCTCTCCTTTTCTTCTGCAACAAACAGATTCGCCAACAAGATGAGTAAGAGATTTGATCGTATCAATTATTGATCTTGTTTTGGGTGTGAGTTAAAAATATGATTCACACCCACACCCGTCAGTTGCGACTGACAGAAATCGAAAAATGATTTTCAGAAACAACATATAAAATTTATATCTATGACATAGACGAACATAACCTATCGATGAGGTTGATAGAAATTTCTTTAATCCACATCAAAATTCATTATCAAATTCGCAAAATTCCGGAAACTCATATCCTTAAAGTCTCTTTATAATATAGGAACTACTTTGATATTGCATTTTTCGATGAGTAAATAAAAGGATGGTGAAGAAATGTGTCTCAAAATCGATACAATTAAACGAACCTCCTGCGATTAGCAATGATAACTAAACAATTTGTTATTCAAGTTTATAATTTTTACATTTTTGCGTAATTAGAATGAATCTGATGAATGGTGATTAATAAAACCAAATGTTCATTAACACAACACAAAACAATAAGAAAATGAAGTAATCAAGTTTTAATCTATCAATCTATAATAATTCAACGAAGCTGAAAATGATTGAATCGTTTTTTTCTTCACTAAATCCACATCGTTCTTGAAGTTATGGATTCTATTGTCTAAAGCTTATTGAAACTTGATCCCTATATTTCTAATTTTAATTTAACACAAAATTTCTTAGAAGATAAATTTTTCGTCGTCATAGTTTCAACAGATAATGATTCTCATGTCACTTGTAAAGATAGAAAGTACGGCAGTAAATATGCCATCGATAAATTATTCAATATTTTTTCATCTTTTTATCGGATTTTTTTTAAAATTCTCTTTATTTATTTCTTAGAAATTGACTTATTTAGTAAGAATATTTGCTAGCAATAGTTCTTGTAATTTAAAATGCTTAGATAATTGAACTGAAGATGATCTATATGTTGCTAAATATAAAATATCCTATTGAAAAAAAACAATTTCATTTTGAGTTTCATCGTCTTCTTTTTACATAAGTCATCATAATGATTTTATACTGGAATTGAAAACAACCAGCGGAAGTCATTTGATATGCATATTCAATCTATAGTGATTATTTTAAATGAAACTCTATTTTAAAAAAATCAGAAAATATACTTCGAAAACTCAAGCACTATAACTCATTGCTAAACAGTTCAGATATTATTTTTTTTCATATTGTAAGTTGAATATATTCAAATATTGTTTTGTTCATTAAAAGTAAAAGAAAAATTCAGATTGTAATATGTTGACGTGCGTCCTCTGCCTTTTCTTGGCTTATGGATTGGTCTATAACATTTGTTGTGTTTCCACAAATAAGAAGAACGATGGTTAGCAATGATCAATCGATTTCTTTTTTTCTTCTTCTAAATCAACCTTTTCAACTGGCGTCATTTCGATCTAGTATTCAATCTTTAAGTCGATCAGCATGGAAAGCATGGGAACCTGTCACTATGATTCCATGTCTTACAAAAGATCGACTTTCCATTCATTTGCTTCATCGTCAAGCATGTCTTGTAGGCATTTTACTATGAAATTTTATTAATACTTTAATATTATTTAGAATAGTCAAAATATTTATATCGATCCTGAATCAAGATTACAAGTTCTCACTCGATATGCTCATCTACAACGAGGAAAATGTTGTGGTAATCAATGTCGTCATGTAAGTTGACGAAAATTTTTCAATTTTATTTTATTCTTTTTTCTTTAGTGTCCATATGGTCATATGAATGCTGAAATTAATTTTAGTCGACCTCAAAAAATATTTAACACATCTTATTATGAATGATAAGGCGAACTAGAGCATGTAAGATCAAATACTTTCATCTTGGCTTTTAATTAGTTAAAATACATTGAAATTTCTTAGTTAAGAAAAACGTTATTTATTGTTTATTTGTTATTAGTAGATGTAGATCTTCTCCGATGATTTAAATATGTTTGATAGTCAGAATATATTTTATTATTAAATAAATTTAGATTACTCAATTATCTGATATTCCTACGTTTTATTTGCTTGATCTAGGTAATATTAGAATTTAGATACAAGCAAATTGACGATGTTTAACATGAAAGACGGTATAAACGCAAACAATCAATAATGATGAAAGAAAATCTACGTGATAAAATAATGTATTTACTCATTTTCGCTTCAGAATTATCTGTTCTTGTCGTCTAGTGGAAATAAATCGTTGTATTATGAATATAAAATTAGTTTTTATTTAGTTATTATAGAAAAGAAATCTATGTTGATGTTTGAAATAGATTAATCATAAAATAAACAGCATAGAAACTATCAAATCATTATATAATCACTTTTCTGCTAGGGGGACCATCATGCATTCCAGACTGACTCAATATCAATATTAATTAAATATTTCCTTTGGCGTATGTAATGATGATTACAAATATTCTGAATTCAAGTAAAGTGTTATCAAATGTGGCTCTTGAGAACCAAAACTATTTATGAGAAACATTACTGATTAAGAGTCATTAAAATCAAAACTAATTTCGAGATAAAAAGAAAAACAAAATTTCTTTCTTCCCATTTTACGATATCAATTGACCTCGTACATTCATTATATTCTATCGATGATAAAATGCTTGAGAATCGTATTGTTGAAGAATGCTTCCACGGATAGAGGATATTCAAATTTATTCAATAAATCAACATCCTATGGTCACCATACTAGAAAACGTCAACTACCGCTCAGCACCAGTCCAGAATAGTCGAAGTTTTCGAATACTTTATGTATCTCGATTTATTTGAATTATAATTAACATATAAAATATTATCACTTCCGACGATATTGATAGTCAATAACTACATGATTTTTGATCATTCACCTGTCGTAAACAATGACTATTCTGTATGTAATCGTGTGCATGATATTACTTTTGCAGAGTTCCTTTATCAATGAATAGTCTATTTAACCTGCGAACAATACCAAAACATTGCTGAGTTTCTAAACTCTCTATGCAAAATATTTTTCTAAAATAAACACAAGATCTTCGAGTTCATCTACAAAAAATAAATTCGAAAAAGAGCACAGAGAAAGCAGAGATCAAATACATACGAACATCAGAGGAATTTTTCGTGTCTTTAAGCATTTAACTGAAAGAATTTTTTGAAACCGAACATTTCGGAGGAGAGAAGTGTCGGCCGAATCTGAACCACTCCGGACTGAAACGACGAGTTTAAAAAAAACGATTTTTGATCGGATATCTTTTATGAGTGGGTTGGTATCCGATAGGTTTTGCGATAATAATGATATAAAAAATGACATCATTTTATTATAATAAACCGCAGTATATATTTCAAACGCACGAGAGCTATAACAATTGTTATATTTATTTATTGTTTTTTCGTTTATTATTTGTCATGATAAGGAAAAAAACAGATCAACGAGTAGAGATTATTATTTTCTTGTGTATGTTATTACTCACTACACTGAAAAATACATTAAATCGAAAAAATTACAAATTTTTCATACAACAGAAAAAAAAGAGTTGCTTATTTTTTCGTGACATATATAGATTAATTTCATTTAATTTTTTTCTTTGCCATATATAGACAAAACTAAAAAGAAAACAAATAAATATAAGATTATGATATATAACCAAATAAAATATAACAAACTTCATCAAACAAAATATATCCACCATGATTAGTATCAATACGATTAAATTCTTCTCTTAAACCATGTTCATCTATATGTGAATGACCCATAAGTTGATGTCCTTTTTTAAATTCATTAAAATTTATTCTTTTATCTTTATTTGTATCCAATTGTGCAAATAGATCACTTAATTTATTATAGTAATATAATAGATCAATTAAACGACGAAATTCTTTAAATTCAACAAATCCACTCTACAAATATAAGATAAATTTTATGCAAACAAACAAAAATAAAAAAATAAGATATACTCCATTCGCATCAGCTGCTTTGTAAGCACGAAGAATAGCTTGACGATTAGTACCAAATTCAGGATACCAATAGATAATTGCTCGATCAATTTCAGCCAACGATAATATTCCATTACCATTATCAAATCGTTGAAATAACTATATTTAACAGAAAAAAAAACTTATATTTCTGAATATTTCTTTGATCATTTTTATAAGAAAGCTAATAAAATGTACCTTTCTACACTCATCTTCAGTTAAATGTTTAGGCATTGTTGTTGTAGGATACGCCACAGTATATTTTATCCTTGAAATATAATGCTAACGCAAAAGAAATAAAAGTCAACGCAGTTTGTCTATTTACTTTTTCTTCTTCCTTGCTCGTTTTATAGTTAAGTGAGTAAGGATTTATTCTTTGTAATAGAATGAAAAAAAAAGACAGAAAAGAAAAAGAAGAAAAGAAAAAAGAAAACTTATCTTCTTTCCAATGTTTATCCGACTGTGATAAACTTCTGTTATCGGAAATTCATCCGCTTTTTTTTTCTGTTTGACAAGAAAAGACAATAGAATTTATATGGTTATTTTTTCAGAGCATAATTTTAAATGAAAAAGAGAAAAAAAGTTCATCGATAATTCATAGACAAATAAAATGATCGAATTTTTGCTGTGTTACTGTTATTAATACATAAATTTGTTTAAAAGCATGATTCTAACCAGTGGCGTAGCCAGAAATTTTTTAGTCATAAGCCGTTCCGCAACTCACAAAAGTCGATGTTTGTTGAAGAGAAGTTCGTTACTCTCAACAAAGAGGCTATAGTGAATGTTCCTAATAAGAAACCCTTGTTCAGTAACTAAAACATTTTCTTTTTGTTTCAAACAACTTTAAAGAAAATTATAAAATTTTTATGTTATTCAATAAAGGAAGTCTGCTGAATTGAATGATGCAACGCTTATAGAATTGTCTTGAAAATTAAGTGAGTAATTAGCAGTAGTTTGCAAGTAGTTGAACTTGTTCGTATTACAAGCACTGTTTCTAATTCAAACAGCAAGTCAATAAATGTTTCTAATAAGAAAAATCTATGTAAGATAAATAGAAAATTAAATATTTTTAATAGATGAATGCTTTTACTATCTAAACTTGAATTTTTTTTTTCTACTTCCGCCACAAAAATGTTTCTCGACAGATGGTACATTAACTTCTAACCGTTTGAGACAAGTGGAGTTTTTGCTTTTTTATCAGTGACATTAATAGAAAACGACGGTATTACTATCAAATGATAAACTATAATAACTCAATCACAATGTAGTATCGATCAAAATTATAGAAATTTTTGTTGTACCTAAATTCTATATTTTATATTTGTGCTCCCTTTATTACAAGTATAATTCTATGAAAATTTTAATAAAGTATCACGAACAATGATATGTTGGGTACAATATTAATTAAAGATGATAATTGCAAATAAGAGTAGAACAAAATTGAATTCAATTAAGTAAAAGATTACAAAACTAAACAAGTTTCTACTGCTATGGGATCCATCTTGATTAGTTAGTTCAATATATATGTGTCACAAGTAAAATCGAATTTTAGGTAAAAAGGTTTGCAATGGAAGGCCGTATACTGCAAGTTAGGGAGTTTCATCATGTTCGGATCAAATTAATGATTTCCTAGTCTAGCTAACTAAGAGAAAATATGAGCTACGCATAGCGTACACAAATCCAGGTATTTGAAACTTAAGATATTTAGTCTGTCATGTGCTCATAGTAAAAAATGCAGCAGCATTAAGTTTTTGATTTTTCGTCATGGTGAATAGAGCAAGAGGAGTTAAATAAGAAAAACAATATCATGGATATTACAAATCAATTTTATAATCATCAGAATTTTGTGCTTATTACTATTATATTTATCAATAGTGCTTTCTTGGGCTTCGTAAAATTGATTTTTAATATGCATGATACTGCTTTTTTCTTTTGTAGCTCGTCTTGCTCTTTCAAGCCATGACGAAACTACAAAAATAAATGCTGCAGCAATTTTGTACGATGGGCACGTGACAGACTGAATATCTTCCAATTCGAATATCTCAGTCTGTGTACGCTATGTGCAGCTCATATTTTACCATACTTATTAGGCAAATTTCATTGTTAATGACACAACACACTAACAAAAGATTTTTTTGTCTAAAAAATAACTGCTCATTCTCATTTTCATTAACAGAACATTGCACGTATATATGTTTCTTCCAAGTGGACGGACTACTGTCTTTCACGAATTCGTACTCTAGTATATGCATGAACAGCTTCTGCACTGACATCAGGAAACGATGTCCAACAATATTTTTATGAGCAAGCAAATCACTATATTAATTTGTCGAGCATCAAATTTTGAGAGAAAATATTTATTATTTTGCCACACGAAATATATGAGCTAACCAGTTCTTCATTGTTTTCGGCTGAAACATAAATCAATAAAACTTAACAACATAATATATTCATAGCTGAAGTATTATCCATGAGCCAACCCAGACTGGAAGACAAATAAACATAGGTCTAAAGATTCTTTTTTTCTTATCAGACCTTGCTAAGCCAACTAGATTTCAATCAGATATACTTGCAAGTTCTACAACTTTCAAAAATTCAACCACACTCGAATAAAAGTTAGACATAACTTAGCATAAATATATAAGATCAGTTCTTTATTCTCATCTTGTTTGGTTTTGTTTTGTTATTAAATCTTTTGATAAGTATTTAATGCAAAGCTTTCTGAGTGCTTAGGTTCGTAATGAATGTAAATAGATTTTGCAAAAGAAAAAAGATTTGCTATTCCGCCAGTGATAATTATTCAATTTTGCTGATATATACAAGAAATAAATTATTTCATCAAGATCATTTCGAAAAAAAGAGAGAATGAGACAAAGAAAAACAAGCAATTCCTTAATTAAGGTAGGTCCTTTATCTTTATTTTACGTTGAAAAAGTAAAGTGAATTTAAATACTTACAATTTAATATTGGTTTTGTATTACAATATTATAGATTGATAATGGTGCAGTACCATTATCAGTATAAGACGTTGAGGTAGAAAATCAATAAATAATTTCAAGTATTATAATTCACTTTACTCTACTCAGCGAGTCAAAGTTAAGTTAGCTAATTTCCTTTACTTGCCAAAGTAAAGATAAAGTATTATTCCAACTTCTAATCTTAACAAGAAAAAACTTTATAAAGCATCGATTAATAATTTCATAGAGGTTATAAAACTGAATAGTTTTATAATGTTTCGACAACGCATTGTGAAAAATCATACTCATAAACGAAATGTAACATATTGCAATAACGAAGTAGAAAGAAATCGCTTTACTTGATTGAATCAAATTTTCTTCTATTCTTACTTGCAATTATTATCTTTAATTAATATTGTATCCAACATAAAATTGTTCGCGATACTTTATTAAAATTTTCATAGAATTATTTTTTCAATAAAAGGAGCACAAATGTAAAGTAAAGAATGTGGATACAACACAAATTTTTCTTATTTTGATCGACAAAACATTGTGATTGAGTTATTATAGTTTATCATTTGCTAGTAATACCGCCGTTTTCAGTTAATGTCACTGATAAAAAAAAGCAACAACTCCACATGTCTCAAACTGTTAGAAGTTAATGTACCATCTGTCGAGAAACATTTTTGTGGCAGGAGCAGAAAAAAATTCTCAAATTTAGATAGTAAAAGCAGCCATCTATTAAAAATATTTAATTTTATATATATCCTACATAGATTTTTCTTATTAGGAATATGTATTGACTTGCTGTTTGAATTAGAAACAGTGCTTGTAATACGAACAAATTCAACTACTTGCAAACTACTGCTACCTACTCATTTCATTTTCAAGACAATTCTATAAGCATTGCATCATTCGATTCAGCAGACTTCCTTTATTGAATAATATAAAAATTTTACAATTTTCTTTAAAGTTGTCTGAAACAAAAAGAAAACTTGAGGGTGTCTGTAAAAGTGTTTTTTTTTATTATGAACATTGACTGCCCAGGCAGATTTTAGAAAGCATACGATTAGTGCGATGAGCACTCAAAAATTTGAAATATTTATTGTTTGTTCATGCTGTTCCGTTTTCGAGCCCCTTGGTATTCAAAGATTCTGACCACTCGAAAACTGTATCTTGTTAGACATTGGTTTTCGACTCCTCAACCACTTTTAGATTCTCCTATACTCATCGAAGTTTCGAGTAATCGAGAAAAGAAACATATTGAAAGCATAATATCGAGTGCTCGAGTAGAAGCAAGCCTAGCAGAATAAGAGTTTCAAGTAGTGAAGTTAGTTTTATTTCGTGAACCTTCCTCAAAAAGAGAGTTGCAAATGTCTCTTTCATTCGGCTACCTTCATAAGGTGATTTATATTTCACATACATTTTTCTTAATTTTATAATCCTCTAAAAGATATTTAATATTAACTAATGAAAAATAACAAGTAAGGCCGAAATTCACAAGCGTTTTTGACGAAAAACATAGCCATAGCAATTTTTGCGTTTTGAATGTTTGAAAACTTTTATAATATTAATTTTATACTTTATCACACAAAACGATTGTTTATCAAATAAGCTTCTTATGTGGAATCTGAGACTTCAAAAAAAAAAAGCTTTTTCTGTACTTAGAGATACGCAAAATGTGTTCTTATTTGTTTAAAAAGTTTCTTTTCAATATTCAAAAACTGCTAGCAAATGTTAATATAATAATCTTGAAAGTACTATCTATCTAAGAATTGAAAAGATAACATACATAGAAGAACAATAGTTCATATTTTGTTTAGATGTTTCACGATTGTTAATCGTAAGTACCTGTGGTCAAATCTCTTCTTCCTCATTCCTTTGATAGATATCGATGACTCGATAATAAGACATCTATAAGAAAAAAATCCTTTTTATTTTTATCAAATCTTGATCTGCTCGATAAAAACCGTTCGACAGGCCGAGAACTCCGTATTTTACTGACCTATCGCCGAGCCCTTGACTTATTTTGATAATTAAAAAAAAAAGCAATTTCTTTTAGAAAGTTCATAGAGAAAATTCTTTTACAATGAGAAAAGTAATCAACAGTTTTATATGAACCTTTACCTGTACTACAAATAGCACATCTTCTTTAAGTGCCAACAATTGAAAGATGTAACTGTTTGTCATTTGGTATTTTAAATGATATTTTCTTTCCTGATTATGCATTCCTCTTTCTGTTGACATCAATTGAATGTTATGTTCATTTTAAAGTTTTTTGCTCCTTCAATCAATGCTGTCGTGATCGATAACAAAAAAAATCAAGATATACTAAATTAAAATCAGTGCGAATTTTCAATATGATAATATCTAAGATGTAATATTGATGGCCTTGCATAGACTCAACAGAATTACTACTCCATATGCACCAAATCCGAACGTTCTACTTATGGATTTAGTCTGATATTGGCAAAACAGTTTGACATCATTATACTCTTTATTATATATATAGATGTTTTCTCATTTCATTCATTTGCTTCTCATTGTGTCTTTTATAAAGCCTTCAAACATAGGCAAACATCTGTTATAGTATATCCGACGAGTGATCTTCTTTTCTGTATGTTGTACATATGATTTCACTCATGGCTATTGTTTTAAATGATTGGCATCTACTGTAAGGCAGAAAACCATGCATTTCAAAATGTATGTAGAAAAGCAAAGCATAAAGTTTCTTCTGAAGTCACTTTGATCTCATCATCGATCCTTATTTATATATCAACACGGTACTTCGTACTGGAATTTATAAAAAAACTCTAGTTGATATGTAATTAAGAATTGATCATGAAATCACAATGAATTCATAACAAACTTTATATACTGGTTTTTTGCCAATGTTTCGAAACACATGGTTTCATGCCTTACAGTAGATGTCGATCATTTGAAATAATAGCCATAGATGAAGTCATATGAAATCAAACTTCCGAGAATGCCCTATGAAATGATGAAAAACTCATGTAAATCGCTCAAATCGTGAAAGGCTTATTGCAGTATTATTTCATAGCTAACTTTTAGGACATCTTGTATATACCGACATGACTTCTATACCAGTTCGGATTCACGAGCTATTCAAAAATCAAGCATTTCGAAAAAAAGTGTCACTTCTTTAAGACGTTGATATTTTAAAGATTAATAAACAATATATGAATGAAACTTCTGGCACTGATCATCAATTTGATTGAAAGAGATTTATATCCAATGTGAAAGTTATCACAACCTTCAAAAGCTAATTCAATTATTTACTGTTTAATATTTTTAGAAAAACTATATTCAATAATTAGCTTATTTCTTATTTGTTTCTACATTTTCAATGTTCTTCTAAACTCTGCAACATATAAACATAAGCGACCATAATCAGCCCTGAAGTGCAAAAACACAATCACATGATAAATAAGAAATATCACGCATGATAACTCACGTTAATTATAATAACGTTGTACAATTACTTATACTTCTTCAAAAGTTTCTGATAATCGTTCTTTTTTACAATCTCAAAATTATTGAATGTTAAAAGCGTTACTAATTCTAAGAAATAATTTTATAGAATCTTTTTATTTCCTATTGAATAGAGCAAAATTTTACGGAAAAAATAGATGTACAACAAAGTAATACTAACAAAGATTTTTCGATTAGTACGAAACTTTTAACTAAAATAACACACGATTCAAAAATAGCAAAATTCTTTTGTTGAATTTATCATCATCATCATCGTTAATTAAATTAAATTCTGATAATAAAAATTCTTCGTGAAATATCACTGGAGTCATTATCGATAGATAAACGTTCTTTTTCTTTGTGAATTTCAATATTCTTTCATTTTTTCGAACAATAATGTTAATCTATTAGTTTTCTGATTAAAGAAAACAAAGTCAATAAGGATATTTTTGAGTTTTCGTACTCATTTATTACTTACATAATAAATCATAATCAAGGACGAGACTTCTGATTTCCAAAAAACCTACCTTGTATCGTACTGCACAAGGTAAAATAGGTGATACACCTAAAGCACACCTTTCACATGTGTTTGAAGCTGAATGACTGCGATATTTTCTTTTACAAAAAATGTCGATAGATGCAATATCATCATCATGGCAACATTCATTGTTTAAATTTCTTGGTGTATTGAGTTCAATCATTGCTTCTCTCGCATGGTTAGCAACTATCGCTGCTTTATTTGATTTATGGGCCAAAGATGATTTTATTCGATATGAACATAATGATGGTGATGTTGTATATGTATCTAATGTTGGTTCTCGACACAAACCAACATTTATTATTGGTACAGTTGTTACAGGAACATTTTTTGTTTTGACATTGATCTTTACGAAACTATGTTTTGATATGGAAAATAGACGACGATATAAACGAAATATTTCCATAGTGTCTATTGTATTTGGTATGATTGCTAGTATATCACTTATTCTTCTAGCTATTTTTGATTCAATTAATCATAAAGGAGCTCATTATACATTTACGGGATTATTTATTATATTTACTCTTCTATCGGCAGCTTTTTCTATTATTTATCGATTCTCACATAATCAAGGTAATCTGGCAATTAATTTGCGAGTTTTATTTGTTGCTGTGGTCATTCCTTTGGTAATTACTTTTGTTGTTATGGGTGCACTTAAAAGACCTGATAATGAAATACAATTAAAATCAGTAGCCGCTTCACTTGAATGGTCGATTTCTATTTTGTTTATTTTATATTTGGCTTTATTTGCGTTAGATCTTTTACTCAGTAATAATCTCAATTTGAATGTTTGAAAAATATTTTTTTTTAATATAAAATATATCAAAAAATAACATAAACCAAATCCAAGAATTGATTGTTAATAGTTATGAATGATTGAAATTTTAAGCTCGACTCTTTTAAAATTATTTTAAAAACAAATTTTAAACCTAAGATTATTTCTAATTCGATTTATATATTCATTTGAAAGACAAATAATCAGCATATTCATCAAGATACAGTATGTATTGTCGAAATATATTTGTTTATGTCAAAATAAAAATTTCGTATGAGTGAAAATCTTTGTTTTTTGTATTGATGAAAAAACGTGTAACTTATAGTTTTTCTCCTTGCACATCGAACAAAAGTGTTGTGTATGTTATAAAGAGAAAAAAAAAGATAGTATCATAGTAAGTGACGCTGTGCGATAGTAAACTTACAAAAGTATATAAATAAAGAAAAAGAAATATATATATATATATATATATCCTATCGAAAGAAACATCATAATTTTTACTAACGTGAATGAGAAAAAACACAGACTGTTGAAATTCGTCATCAGAGATTTCAATAAATCGAAATGTTTTCGGATAGAAAATCATGAGCTGAGTCGAATCGATTTAATACTATGATGGACGCCCACCCATTGGACTGAATCTTAAATAAAATATAAAATTCAAAAGACTTGTATTTTTTCACTAAATCTTTTTTTTCGAAAATTCCATGTTATGCTGTAATTGGCTAAAATATTTCTATAATGAACAGCGAATATATCATCCAAACCAAAGAAAAAGATAAAATTATTCTTACCTGAAAAATTTTTCTATATTTTAAAAAGAAAAACTTCCTTGTCTAGCAGCTCTCTTTGTTCGTCAACAATTACTTTGGCTAATTTATATTCCTACTGAACCTTCTCAATCATCAGTTTTATTAAAAGTTTTTCTTCAATTGCTGGTACGAGTTCATCATCATATGCAAAACATAATACCTCCGAACGGATGAAGTTTATTATGAAAATAGCAGCCATCAACATATGCTATTATTAGAAATGAAAAGTGAAACATATTTTTATGTTGAAAAGTTTGGGATTTTCCCACTGAAAAGCTCAAAAAATATTGATGAATTCGAATAATCTCGGGTTATTACAAAAACCTATAGTAAACATGTGAAAATAACTAAAGTAAAATATAATACATTTGGACAATATCCCGAAAGATGAGAGAAGTAATAAAGTCAACAATAAGATTGGTCTATTCATATATTGATTATTAAGCCATTCTAAAACAATGAATTCATCTAAACAAAACAAAAAAAGGTTTTTCTTATGAGTATGATTAACAGATATATATATATAATGTTAAGTTCTTTCATTTTTCAAGCAATAGAATAGCTAAAATTAATGCATCTGTATTAGATATCATTCGAATTTTATCTTGACCCTAATTAGGTTAAATTTTCCAATCAAACAAGATGGTTTTTCCATGCATTTCTCTGAAAATTATAATTCCTTTCTTTACTTATTTTTATAAAGGAAAATATTGCAAATGATGTGTGATTCAATGAATCAAGTCAAGTTGTTGGGTTTTCTCGATATTAGCAGCTATCGACTTTGTCAATGGGTCATATACATAGCATTTAAGAGAGGAGTCATGAGACCATCAAATATACAAGATACTTGATAAAAAAGTTTTCTTTTTTTTGTACATTTAATGCGTTGATGTCTGAAACCACCAACAGCGCATTTTCGTCTTTATCATATTCTTATGAGAAAAAATAGTTAAAAGTACCTTGTAAAAGTTGCATTTGTTTTTCTTTCAATGAATCATTCATATGTTTTTTTTTCTATAAATTATACTAAAAGATACAGAATTAAAAATTGAACAAAATGGGATATTTCCATCTAATCAGTATTCAAAATCGTAGAGTTCCAATCTAAATTCTATGTACAGCATGGAACTTTTCATTTTTTACAATTAGTAAAAAGATCTATTCAAAAATTAATGATAGTTTCGAGATGAAATCTGGTTGACATCTTTCTCTTACATTATGGTTTTTGATCGTAATCCAATAGAAAAAAACAAAAACATTTTTCGAGGTTTTCATTACTACGGCACAACTGGCAAGAAAAATAAGTATGACATTCGGAGTTAGCATCAACAACTGCATTGAATCGAATATATTTTAGGGAAACTTTTTTGTGTGCTAATTTCACCTGTAATGCCTAACGGCTCTACTGTATTACAATTTTGACCCGCGGTCCCCACGGATGAGTTTTGGACAGGAAAAAAAGTTTCTCTAAAATGTGTTTGCTTCAATGTAGTTTTTGACACTGCCTCCGAATGTCATGTTTATTTTTCTTGCCTTTGGTGTTGTAGCAATAGAAAACGCAAAACATGTTTTTTTTTGCTATTGGAATATGATCAAAAACCATAATTTTACAGAAAGATGTCAACCTCATTTCACCCCCGCAGCTATCATTTATTGTTGAACAGGATTTTTATCATTTGTGGACAATGAAAAGTTACATGTTATATATAGAATTTAGCTTGGAACTTTCTGATTGTGAATCCTGATTATATTGAAATATCTCATTTCATTCAGTTTTTAATTCTCTATCTTTTAGTATAATTTATTTAAAAAAAGCACATGAATAATTCATTCAAAGATAAACAAATACAACTTTTACAAGGTATTTTTATTGTTTTTTTTCTCATAAGAATACGATAATAGTAACAAGTCAGTATTGACTAACTTTCTAAACAAAGAGTATTGGACGCTAAAATTTTAGGATTGCTGGTTTCAAAACATCGATGCATTGAATGTACAAAAAAAAAAGAATTTATTTTTAACGAATACCTTGTATATTACATGGTCTCATGGTTTCTCTCTTAACAATGACGATTTCATTCTTGAAATCTTTACTCTTGAAAGTTTAACAACCATTCGATCGATTTATTTTGTACGTAAATGTTAATAACAATAGAATACAACATCATATTACCCGCGTTTATTAGTGTAATGGAGGAAAAATGATAAACATGATTAACTGGAATATGTATATTCCTACAAAAGAATATGTTATTGTCAATATGAGTAGTGATAAGATGTTTGATGTAAGAAGCGGTGCATATTCCTCTTCTTTTCTTTGTCATTCGAAAGAGAACAAAAGTGAAAAACTCGTGATAGGAATGAATGTACTCGAAAGGAAAGGAAATATAAAAATATAATTAGAGGAATGATTTCCGCTGTTTTGAACACTCAAAAACATCTGAACACAGCTTCGAGTAGAGAAAACCATTTGCAATAACAGTCTACAAAACTGCAACTTTTTCGTTGGTTTCCAAAGTTGAATTCACCAAAAAGCTAAAGTCCTAGATTTCAATACTTACTATATGGAACTATTATTTTATTGTGACTACGTAGAACGATGGATCAAAACGTTCGCTAAAAAAAATGAAGTGTCCTCAAATTCTATACAGCGCATTTTGCATGACATTTTATCTTTAAGGCCAACGAACATCAATTAAAAATAAATCTAATAAAATTAATCAATTTATCATTTATTCTATGTAACTTACTCAAAAATAAGTATCGATTTCAATACAAATATTTTTATTGTTAAAGTTCTTGAATAATTATACAATATTTATCTATGTGTTTAGTCTAAAAAAACATTTCCATTAAACATGTCTGTATTCTTCTTTAACTATTATTTCATTTATTAATATCAATCAGTCACTTACGAGTTTACTTACTCATATTATAATAAATTGATTTGATATTGATTGAATATATAAACACATCATCGTTCTATTACAATTTCAGAATTTATTCTTAATAATTTAAAACATTTCTGTCATACACATTCATGTATTTAACAACGTTTGATTGATTTTTAGATAGTTTAGTTTTTCATATATATTCTCTAAGCTTTGGATTTTTCATGAAATCCTTTTATTAATTTGACAAATTTTAGTTTCAACATGGGATATATCGATTTTTGTAAACATAGAAATTTTATTTTGTAACATTAATATATAATTGTGTAAGCTCAACCGTCTTTTCCTGAGTCTTGTATTTGGATTACTAACATATTGAAGTATAAAACAATCAAATTATCGAATAATATCCCTATTTCAATAAGAATTAGTTACAAAAAATTAATAATAATTGTTATATTATATGTTGTTTTCAGTTAGATTATAGTATTAATTATTATTTGAATATATATTTCGAAATCAAAACTATATTTTAGTAATCATATTATAAGTATTATTTATTATCTATATTCTGTAATATGTGTATCAAATATTTAGATTACATATAGAAATTTTATCTTTTTTGTTTTTTAAAGTTCATTTTATGTTTATGTATGCCAATTGAAAGAATTTTGTCAATAATTTACTCATACTTCTATTAATCATTCCAATATTTTCGAAGAATCAAATAAAACTACAAATAAAAAGGATTATTCTGAGTATTTTTTTTACAACTGTTTTTATTACAATCATTTATTATTTGTCGACATACTATTATTATTTGTTTTAATATTAATAAAATAAATAGTAGAAATCTGAGCGCAGTAAAAAAAATGGCTGCTTCACATTTATTTTTTCTCTTGTTATTCTAGTTTTTTAAATTTAAGTGAAAAATTTAAAGAAATTCTTCATTGCGAACAAAATAAATTGCCATTTTGTTTGAAGCTCAATAAATAGTTTTATAGAATACGTATGTAAAATCTATTGTTCATTCAAAAAGTCAGTGCGTGTGACTATGTATGTTATGAATAACTGGAGAACAAAAAAAAGAATAGGGACTTCCGCTTTTCACCAATCTCAAGAACGTTTTTTTCGCTGCTTATATTGATCAAATTTCACAAGAGTTTCACTTCAAATTATAAACAAATATAGCCAAAACCAATCTCTATTCTTACAAAACTTATCATACCATTAAAAACTTATATTGGAGAAAAAGATCCAAAGAGCAATTCAACATTTTATCAAAAGTATAGAATGATTTTGACTACATTTGTGTATAATTTAAGTTGAAATTCTTATGAAATATGATAACATTCACACTCGATATTACTCTTTTGAATGGTAGTAACAGCAGATCTCTATTCTATTTTGTTCTCGAATTATTCAAAAAATAGTAATACGCACCGACTTTTTGGATGGACAATAGTTTTGTATACCAACAAAGTCTTTACTTTTATATTCGTGTTATTTTATATTTTAATGATCTAATTTATTGAATTGAATCCTTTACGATTCTTACAGAATAATTTCTATTTAGTCCTATGTTTTAATTGTACGATTTGTTGCTATTGAATAGTTATTACCTATTAATTAATTATTCTCCAGGTTTTGCATGACTACTTTGTTTGCATTACAAATAGCTTCCAGAGCTTTTTTTTTTTTTTTTGCACATTCCATTACTCATTCTTTTTTCAAATGGAAGAAATTATGGTGAGAGTAAATATTTGACTGAAGTTCATAAGAGTGACTCTTCAGGGCGATAGCTCTTTTTGTTTGGTATTATTAAAATGTGTGACATGTGATTTATAAGTAAATGCAAGTATTTGTTCTACTTAATAAACTAAAAAAATAATTTTTTTTTCTGATTCTATCAAACAATCAACTTTTATCTAAATATAATTTTTGTTTTAATTCAAATATTCCAAATAAAATTGTCATTTCTAATGCTTCACCTCTTTTTTACACTCCTGTCACGTATAAGTATTAAAAAAAAACAAATTTATTTCTTTTTTTTTTTTTTCTACGCCATACAGTCTTGCAAAAAAAAGAAAAAAAAGAAGAATTCATTAAAATAGCTTCCTATTGCCACTTGAACACTTCACAAGGTTTAAAAAGCTTCTTTTTAAATATCACATGACGACAAGCGACCTCTCATAGTTCAACACATGTTGCCAAGCAATCACGATGCATAAACACAAGGCAATGGCCGAATCATTTCACTTTTCTTTTTTTATTAAATTGAATATAAATAAATTTTCTTTTAATTGCTTTACTAAAAATAACTTTGAAGTAAATTGACAGTTAGTATACTAATCAAGTCCACATGTCATATTCACTTGCGTGCAAACTTCCGAAAAGGATACCTGTCAATAATAGTAACGGAATTCTAAGGCGAGAAAATTAATTTCGATCGGAGAAAATGAGTGAGAACATACTTATTCTCACCTTGTATTTTTTTTTTCTATCCAATTCAAAACTACTTCTCATCTTACTTTTCTTTCATATTTGAAGTATTTTTCTATTTGTTGGCATCTTGCGTCGATGACGACAGTGGCAAACGCTTCTAAAGGTACTTAAAATGAAGAAATACATTTCTTCTTTTTTTTTTTTTTTTTGACAAACGTTTCAGCTCAAACGACAGTAGCAACATGAGTAAGCTATCAATCTTCTCTTTTCTTTTATCATATAATCAATTCGAAACTTTTATCGTAATTGAGATAAATAATTCTTTATTGTCTTTTGTTTAGCCGGACGCTTAGAAAAACCCTCGGCACCAGTTTTGGTTAATGCAAATCATTATTCAATTGAACTTGAATGGGAACATGTTCAAGTTCAAGATCAAACTCGTTCACGAAATCGAAGAATATTTGATGAAACAGGTGCAGCACACTCAGGTTCTTTAATTTATCTTCATCAACGTGAGAAAAAAATTGGCTCAATTTGGGAGAATATTTATACGTATGTTATTTAAAAGATTTATTTAAATGAATTTTTTTTTGTTTTTTTTTTTTTATCTATACAAATAGAGGTTCAGCATTAGGATATAAAATTGAAAATTTAAAACCAAATACTCAATATGAATATCGGATACAATGTAAATCTGGTTTGACTGGTGAACGTTCAGAATGGTCACCAATATTATTAGCAGCAACAACACCGGAACCAATGAATGGTGAAACAGTTTTCAAAGCAATTGCTGTACCTGGAAAGGAACAACTCGAAAAATTACTTCAGATTTTGTATGTTTATCACATGATGAATAATAATTTTTAAAAATACAAACATTTTGTTTTTGTGTTACTATAGAGGTCCAGAACATCATCTATTAGAACATCCAGATAAAGATGGAAATTTACCTTTAATGCATGCATGTGCTAAACTTGATATTAAGTTAGTCAATAGTTCTCATATTAATTAGCCGAAATGTTTTTTTTTGTTTTGTTTCTTAAAGTAAAGTAGATTTACTGATAAAAGCTGGTGCAAATGTTAATAATTATATTGGTTCTGGCAAAACAGCGTATGTCTTTTATTTTTTAATATCAACTTTCATAATACAAATTTACATAAATTTAGACTAATGGTTGCCGCAAGTACTGGTTTTAGTAAAGCATGTGCTTTACTTATTGAAAATGGTGCTAATATTTATAGTGTTGATCAAAGTGGTAAAGTAAAAATATATATGAAAATATTTTTTTGTTCTAATTAGTTCATCTAGGTATAACTATTTTACATCACGCGATTGATAGTAAAAATGTCGATACAATTGCTGTTATTATAAAACAAATAAATAATGAACCAGATGAAAAAGTTAAAGACTTTGAAATCAATAGGCAAGTTGGGCCACATAAATGGACACCACTGTATCGAGCAGGTTAAATATAAAATGAAATATTTGAAAAAGAAAATACTTTCTTTTGTTTTCGTTTTCAATTTAGTAATCCATGATTGTAGTAAAGAAATAATCGAGCTTCTTCTTCGTAATGGTGCCAATCCTGAATGTCAAGATAAATCAACGTCTACAACAGCTTTGCAAATGGCTGTTATTCGAGGCAATCTATACAATACGCAACTCTTGGTTAATTATGGAGCTAATACAAGAACAATGAGCAAAGTATAATTTAGATTTTAATAAATGATCAATTATTATGAGAAATATTTTATTTTTCAAGGTTAGTGGTAAAACTCTTCAAGAATTAGCTTCATCAACAAATAAAATGGTGAGTAATCAATTAACTAATTCAAATAATAATATAAGATTTAATATAGGATTTAATCAATTATGTTAATTCATTGCCAGGTGCTCCAAGAATGTAAAAAATCAACAAATGAAATTCTGCTAGTGCAATCATTTTTATCACCTGTTCCTCTACAAAAATGCTTGTGTGCGTTTGTGCTTGTGTGCTTGTGTGTGTGTGCACAAAGTTGTTTATTAAACCTTTTCTTGTATGATAATCTAGACATTCTTTTTTCTTTCAAAAATTTCGATAAAATTTCATATATAATAATTCTAATCTAAACTGATATTTCTATGTATATAAATCAAGGATACATAATATTTTATTGTTTTTTGCTTCTTAATTGTATCAATGATAATGTTGTACTAGTTTTTTTTAATTGTGCATATTTCGTTGAAGTTTCACTGTTGATTGGTGTTGTTGTTGTTGTTGTTGGATGACCAAAAAATTTAATGTCAGAACAAAGTTCAGGTAAAGCATAGCGACTCCATTGTCCATTTGATTCACAACGTTTACAATGTGGTCCAAAAGCAAATGCATATATGGCAAAAACAGTTGAAGGTGCATAAAGTGCACCACCATCTAATGGTTTTATTTCACCCCATTCAGTGACTAAACGTGGATTAGCTCGTAAGAATTCAGCATCACATCGAACAGCTTCACAGACAGTTAATGGAGTCCAAAAACCTAGAAAATTTTAAAAAAAAAATTTTTTTTTTTTGTTTTGTTAAAAAATATTTTCATTAAAATTACCATCACGACAAGTACGACAAAAACGAAGTCCTTCGGGATCTGAACGTCTTTCATAAACAGCTGTTGATAAGTCAGGAACAGTTTTACGTGGATCATCATCAAGAAATTTTGTACGATGATCAGATTGTTCAATACGTAAACGACGAAATTCAAATGGAACAACCATTTGTGTTTCAATTTCATTAAGTAAATTAATTGGACATGGAGAAAATGTTTGTTCAATCATTGAATCTGTTAAAGATTTTTTTAATGATGAATGATTTATATTCATTACTGGTGATAATGTTGTTTGTTTTAAATCAATATAAGAAAGTGGTACAGGTTCAACGACAACTTCAGATAATCTCGATGAACGTTTATCATCAAGTATGCGTAAATTTCGAAGAAGTAATGATGATGATGAACGATTATTTGATAATAATTTTTCATCTTGAGATCTTTGAATCATATCTGTATCAATAATGATACATGCTGGTATTGAACTAATTCTATGTATATGAACAAGTACTAATAATAGTATCATAAAATTAAAGAAGTACGACGATATCATGATTAATAAGAATGAAGAAATGATTGATGCAACTCGTTTTATGTTGTACGAAAATGAATGTGAGAGAGAGAGAAAATAAAAAGGTATTAAGCGTTTTGACAACGATAGACGGCAGATTAACTGAAGTATAATGTTTACCAACTGGTTCATGCAATCAATTGATGTGAGACAACAATAAACGTGATGTTTTATGTCTAATCTCTTTTCACTTGTTGTTGTCAACTATGACAAAAGTGATCGATAAAACCCGATAAGCACTACTTTTCTATTGTCTACTATGCATCATACAATTCAATCAATATTGAATATGAACTTTCAACTTCTTTCTTATTGAACAATATCATATGTCAGCTAAACGACTATTACATATGAATAAATTCCTATTGTTCTACTAAGTAATTACGTATTCTTATATATAAAACATTAAGAAAGTTCCTTATTATAATACTTGTTTCATATTGAGAATCATGTCTTGTTTGGGAAAAAAAGCTAAATTTTTTATTGCTTTTATCGTTATTGATTACACTTATATTTATTAGTGTAGTAGCAGATCCAGAATTTTTATGATGGAAAGATACTTTGGTAGAAAAGGAGAATAATCATGATCATAAAACGTGTTTTGAAGCTCATTTTAAAGCCTTTCTGCTAGGGAAAATCTTTTGGAAGAGGAGCAATCGCCTCCAACACCCCTCATATATCCGTCACTGTCTCACTGACAAAATAGGAAATTCAAGTTCGTTTTAATCATATTTTTAACTTTCGTTCTTAGACTGAGCAGTAATTAAATGTTTTTGCCACTCAATCAATTGTATTTGAATTAAAGCCGTCAATGAGTAATAATACAAAAATTTATGTTAGACCTCGGATCATCGAAAATTATTTTTTTTTTAAGTTTTCATCCATGGAATTATGAAATTTTATTGTATTTCCCGTATTATCATTCGTTTCACATTCAGTTTCACTAAAAATCGATCATGCAATTTTGCATAAAATAATTTTTCTAGAAAAAGATTTTCAATGAAACTTGTCCATCTTAAAAGTTTCATATGAAATTAGTAGTTCTGTTCTTGTCAATATAACACAATAGATCTGTACATATGAGAATGATATTTAAAAAATTATCTTTTCTTATAAGATTTTTTTGAGAAGGAAAAACTTCATTATCGGAAGTGTCAAAATAATCTTGTTTGATTGAAATCATTTTCTTGAATTATATAATTTTATTAAATCTATATCAGTGTAAAGATCTTCAGTCTAAAAATCCAAAAATAACTTTTTAATATAAATATTTGGTGAATATAACTATTTTGCTGGAAAATCTGTTAGAATTTAAATATCCGATGAATAAAGCTAAAAAACTATCTTAGAGTTTTTTGCTGTTTAGTCACTCATAGCTAATTAAATTTGTATCTTTTTTTTTCATCTTGATGCTATGAAATATTAAAGTTGTTTGTAATTATCTATTAGTGCATAACAAAAAAATGACCACATTAATGAGGATCTTAATGTCATCGTAACATAATCTGCATTGCTAATCATGGTTACACAAAGGATCAAAGTATTATCTTTTTCTTCTTTAAACTATTTACTTATTCTGTTAATAAAAAAAAAGAATGCAAGAAGAATTAGTTATTAAAACTAAATTGTCTGCTATAAATAGAAGTATTTTATGAGTAGTCTCTTTTTAATGATAAGAAAAAAAATAATCTTTTATGCAAATGAAGTTTTACAATCCTTTTCTTCAAACAGAAAAATTTTAGCAACTTAAGAAAATAAAACAAATCGAGACTTCAAACTTTCTATCTTATTGATAAATAGCAAATATTTTTATATTAATAAATTCAGATATCTATTCAGTATTGATGTAAAAGATTTAATCAATATCGATCGATACTTTTTTGCAAAATCCTGGCAAAATTATTCTGCAACTAATCAGCAAATTTTCATTAACAATATTGAGGGCAATCAAACATTTTTGCGAAATGACCTTGTCAAAAGAATCATATACAAATCACAAGAAACACTTCAAGCTGTCAAACGAGTTTCGAACAAATGCAACATCGGTTTTAAGATCATACTTATAGAAAAATTTAATCTAGTTTCGAAGCTTAAGTTTCTAGAATATGACTTTGGTAAATAAATTTTTTAGTTTAAACTCTGATTCATTGTACAATTACACTACGTATTACATTTTGCATATTACTCAACACTTATACATAAACACGATATAGAGAAAAGCAGACCCTCAGCTCTTATATCCTAATGGATCGTAGAATATATTTATTAGAGTCTACCAATACTTCCAGACAACTACTAGAATACGGCAGAACATAGGAGAACCGAGTGGAAACCGCTAAGCTATAGAATAATCTGATATCAACGTAGATCCTACTAGATATAAAAAAAACTGTAGAATACATCAAGACTCACCAAAATCTCCGTCTCTTGAATTTACTTATCTTTCCTTGCCAACATTTTTCGACTAGTTTTCACTGAGTTTCCTTGGATCCTGTATTGTTCAGGATTCCCTTTTGCTCTCCTGGAAAAAGTAAATCATTATCCGTACGGATCTCTAAACAGTATGAGGAGTTGAAACTTTATTTATATTTGCTTAGTGTTTAATGTGACTTGCTGCCATGGTAGATACCTTTTAATGACTGTATTTTTATTATCTCTGAACTTTAAATGCTAATTTTCCATTTTCATCAGATAGAGGCAATTAATGATTTGAAAACAAAAAGCTAAAGATTGGAAGATTGCAGTGTAGAATTTAAACTGTATATTCAACAACCTGTTGTTGGAACTATTGGTTTTGGCAAGTCCTTTTCTTATTTTTGTTATTGTTGTTCTCGGATTTTACTCTTATTGTTATCATGCGTAGTTACTCTTCAAGACTTGATAATTACATGGAAAAAATCAATTACAATTGATACATTTATTTGTGTTGTTTGCTGAGTAGTATCTAAACTGGTGTATACATAATAGAATAAATAGTTAGACGCCTAATACTGTTCGATTTCTACGTTTTCTTCATATTTTATGCTGTTGTCTTTTTTTATCATCAGTGTCATGTTGTTTCTATTAAAATCTAATATATTTTTTGTTGATTAATGGCATTATCTTCGATGATATTTGTCAGCGCATTGATTAAAGACGAAGAAAAATGACAATGAAAAATTGCTTTATTTAGCAAAAATGTAACAGAAAACAACGATAAAAAGAGCCAATCACAATTTACGCAGTAGATTAATTTTCCGATGAATTTACTGTTACTCTTTTCTCTGCTTCTTCTTCTTCTTCTTCTTCTGAACTTTCCGATGGTGGCATCATATCATCTATTGATTTATCATCATTATTTTCTGCTTCTTGAATATCTTGAAATTCTTTAGGCCTAAATAAAAACTCCTAATAAAATATCAATGGATTGTTTTCTTTTTAATAACTAACCAACAATTTTGTGATCGAATATATTTAATATTATCTTTAAGTAAAATTTGCACTATTTCGGCTTTAACTTTATCACCTTCTTCGATATCTTCTACGAGTACGTAATCTCCTAAAAAAAATAAAAATTTTATCTTTTTTAAAAAAGAAAAAGTTAAACAATTAACCTCGTTTGATAAAAATTGTTTGACGAAATTTTGTTGGCATACTGACAAGAAATGTCAATCCACTGGGTGTTACTATTTCATGTAAATTATTCCCACGTGGAGCAATTATCTAAAAAATATTTATATCAATTGACCAAAAAATAACAAATTTCAACATTCTAATAACAAAAGTAAATATGGTTCAATAGACTTTTTCTATTGTGAGATCCATTAGTGATCTAGTTTCGTATTTTTGGATATATAATAGAAACAATTCAAATAGAAGTTCAAGATTGATCAAGTTTTATTCAATATTTAAGCTTTTTATTGATTACAGAGGATATAGAATTATTGTATATCAGAGATGTTCATAGGGCATACTGTAAGTTAGGACAAGGTCAAGTCTTTATACCCTGTAAATTTGCATAGTTTTATCTTCAACAAGAATATTTCTTTTGAGTTTTTTTTGTGTCGAAAATAGACTGCAGGAGGTCATACGCTAACTGATATTCAGTGTTTTCATCTATAGATATAAATTTGAATGAACATGATAGAGAAAAATGAATTGCATTTTTTAGTTCTTATTCTCGTTATCTCACTACATTACCGCAAAAGAACCATAAGTACTTTTGAGGAATTCGAGCAAGTCTAATTGAAAAAATATCAAAGATTTCATCTTGAAAATAGAAATTTAACAAATGCACCCATTCCTTAAAGGTACACTTTTCACATGTGCAAACGTTATTACTTTTGAACTCAAATGAAAAATATACAATCAAGGCAGTGTATAAAACAGCAGTGTCACATCTCTGCCGGGACATGCTGCATTTTCAGCGGGAGATGCAGCACCCAATGTAAGAGATGTACATCTCTCAATGAGATGATACATCTCCAACACCAAATCACCGCATCTCCCGAGTGTGGGTGCCGTGTCTCCCGCGGGAGATGCCGCATCTCCTGTGGGAGAAGTGAGCACTTCTCCAAAACCTTGGATATGTGACACCACTCAAAAGACAATAAACTTAATAATTACCTTGACAATATAATGTTTTTCATCAGGTAATTGAAAACGTTGAAGTGCTTCGTTTACGACATATTTCTTCTTTGTAATAAGCGACATGTTTTTTTATATTGAACTATTCTTTTCATCAATCTAAAGAGAAATATATATATATATCCACACATACACACAAACATTTCATATAAGTGTTTATTTTTTTCTCCATATTTTGCTGAGCAAAATTCATCTGATCGTCCAAAAAAAAAGAAAAAGAGAAAGACTTATCGAAACAAAAAAAAAGGAAAAGAAGACACAACAAGTCCGAACAGAGAATAAATGACCAACATTCAGAGAAAAGACAAAAAAAAAAATCCAGATTATAAGACAAAAGATAAATGAAATTAGCTCGTTGGATTCACTATGATACGTTGATAGAACAAAAGATAACTAAAATAAAAACAAATTTTTTAATTTTTCAAAACAAATTTATTCTTTTTTTCAACTAACCATTCACTTTTAAATACTTCTTCAGCGGACACTTCACATACACAATGGTCATCACATCGAAACCTAAAAATAAAAATTTCTTATTTATTTCTAAAAATAATAAAATTCTTTTTAATTTAACCATCGATTTTGTAATTGAAGTTTAACATAACACATATAATGTCCTGTTTCAACTGATGAACCAAAATGACTAATAACAGCAAATAAATAATATTTATTATTTTCTTTAGTTAAATTAGTTATTGTCATATATGGTGTTAAATCAAGTTCATCAGGAAATGATATATGTGCGGAGATTTTTTTACGCATTTTTGAACGAGATTTTTTTACATATTGAAAACGCTAAAATTAAATAAATATTTATTTTTTAGAGAAAAATACAAAAAAAAATTTTATTTTACTTTAAGATGAAAACAAGCGACAATCGGTGCTTGAGATATCGTCAATTTTATATTTGCTGTCATTGACATTTGACATTTATCACAGTAAAAATTACTTAATGTTTCGGAATGTGTAAATCTTTAGAAACAAAAAAAAATATATATATATTAATAATGATTTATTTTTTTATTTTAATTTATAGAAATTTCGTCATACCTCCATAAACAATTTTCTAGAGAAAACGATGATGATGGAAATGATTCATCTGCAAATAGATTATTACACAATAACAATGAAATAATTATGAAATTTGTGTAAGAGACTTCCGTTCCAAGCATGAATATCGATTTTTTTTATTTCTGCTTTTCATTATTAATACAGTCTCAAAATGTTCTTTGTTATTTAGAATTTTTATTAAGTCTAATTTTCGAAACGTCTAGGAAAAAGTTCGTGTTGCGAAATTCTCTCTATGATAATGATTATTTTTTTCATTCTAAATATGCTTAGAGCGTTGATCATAGACTCATCACATTGCTCGTTTTCCATTACTTTAGGTGGATAGAAAAGTCTGGATAAATACAGTAAAATTTGTTTTTCTCGGAACCATTTTTTGAACAAAAATAAACACGAAAATTGTCCCCGTTTTTTCTCATACAGTACGTCTGATCGGGCTGACGTTCTTCTATGAGTATTTTTTTTGTTTGTTAAATTGGTGTGCGCTTTGTTTTATTTTCTAAAATATTGTTCCTATGGAATTCAGCAGCTTTTAAAAACATTGTGCTTCCGGTATTTTGCTTTTCCTGAGCTATAGGAACGATATTTTTCAAAGAAAAAAAACAATTTGTAGCTCGATTTGATTATAATTGTCATAAAAATCATTAAAGTTCAAAAAATTAAGTGTAGAACTTTGCGGGAAAGGAATTTCAGCCATTTTTGGCGGGGAGGGGGGGGGGCCGTCTTCTTAAATATTTTTTTACAGATTTCATGATAAGTCTGTAAAACGATCCAATCAATAGAACATTTATCAAAAATTAAATCGATTTTATAATCAACTGTATAAAATTGTATAATAAATAATTTGATTTTTCTTTTTCTATTAGCATATTTACACTTGATTGAAACGACATATGTACTTTAAGGATATTTTTTATGAATACTATTTAGTAGACTTATTGTAAAGAATGATTTGTTATGAAAGACAACATCAAGAGATTTTGTCTTTTATGGAAGTGGTACTGAACATTTTTTTTTTTTGTGCTTTTGAGAAAAATCATTCTCAAACTTTCTTTAGTATATTGAGATAGCAAATAAAACATTGGATTTGATTGGATAGAGTTCTCTAGTAAAATAATAATACATACCGTTTGATGATGAAAATGGCAATTGAAGAGATATATCTCGAACAAGATCATTTTTTGTCGAAACAGATCTAGAAAAATAAAACAAATTTTATTCATAATATAAAGAATTCTTTTTTTTTTTTTTTTAATTTATTTCAAAAATATTGAAGATTTAGTTTTATCTAATGCAATAAACTTTAGCATACTCTATTCAAATAAATTAATCTTTGCATTTTAGCTGATGAAAGAATCTCTCGAGATAAAAAAAGCTTTTGAGATAAGCCTTGTGTCATTAAGTAGACTATTCTAAGAATAAGCAAAACTGAAATTAATTTGTTTTCTTACTTATTTCGTCTCAATTTATGAAAATTTTATTGACTTTCTGATCAAGTACAAAATATAAATATCAAAAATTTAATATTTCCATTTCGATCGAAAATAAGTTTTATGATCTCTACATACATCGAAAGTTTCATCTAGAACGAATATCTTTTTTTTTTTTTTCTTTGATAAAAGTATTTATAATTTTAATAGAAAAATATTGCGTCGAAAAACTTTTTTCTGGCTACATAGGAAAATCACAAGAGTGTAGGCAACATGAATTAACTTTTTCATTCTTAATAATCTTATAGAAGAATCATAACATCTCCTGATGGTCAAAATATTGCCATTAAATTTCTGATGATATCCGTTGCACTAGGTCAGAAATTATTATAACCTAAGAGGAAGGAAATAAGGGCACGATGTATTCTAGGTGTTTTATATATTTAGCAGATTCTACTGAAGAGAAAAAAAGATCTTGTTTCAAAAGCGTTTTTATTATCTCGTTAGATTAATTTTTCCTTCAAAAGTTCTAAACAAAGTATCTAATGAGAAGAACAGTTTCAGGACATAATAAAAATTCTTGGAAAAATTAATTCCACAAGAACAATTCTATTTCAATTGAATTATATTAAAACAATTGAGACTTACCCACATTGAGAACATGTTATTTCAGATTGAAGAGCACCTTTAAAAAATCGATCAATAATACATGAACATGATTTTTCATCATTCGCTAAAAAGTAAATTAATTGATAAATATAATAATAAAAAAAAAAACAAAAAAACATAATGAAATATTTCTAACTATTATCATTTGAATTTTGTGAATGTATTATATTAAATAAAGCCATAAGTAATTCTTGTGCATCCTGTTCTTCAAAACCAGCTAAATGATTTTCATGTGTCCATATTAAATATAATAATTGTGATGGAACAAATGGTTCATTTGTTGTTTGCCCTTGATGAACCTATTTTGTTTTTATTTAAATATATATTCAAAAACGAAAATTAATTTTTTTTGTTTTCTAAAACTTACATGATGATATAATCGACGTAATTGACACATAATACAATTATTTAATATATGATTTGTATCATTTGATTCACAATGATGTTGTTTTTCCGAAAGAAAACAATCCCGAAGAACTATATTGAATTGAAAATTATTTTATACAAAAACAAAAAACAATCATATTTATATTTACCAGGTGCATGAACAAAAGCTTGCAAAACACTATTCATAAAACATGTATTACCGAGATTAAGAAGACCACAAATACCTTTTGAAAAAAAAATATTTAAAAAAAACAAAAAAACTGATATTTCTTCTTATATTAAATAAATAAATTTACCACCAATCATTGATGATGAAGATGATATATTTGATGGATTTTGTTGAAATAAAATAATTTTTCGTCTTGCACGTTCAAAAACTGAATCATACTGAACATCACGACATATATAGCAATGAACAAAAAGACGTTTTATATCAATAGCAAGTGGATGAGAACATATTCGTGCATGATGTTGAGCATGATGACGACATAAACATAATGAACATTCTAAACATATACGACATTGTTCATGTAAACCACATTCACGACATTTGGATATCTAAATTTAAGTTTTCATTTAGACATTAAATGACAAAAATGATTAATTTAAGAAAATTTTTCTTTCATACTCGATTTTTATTAATAAGTGTTTGTAAATGTGTAAAACAACTTGTATGTTGTATGCGATATTTTTGTTTGAGTTTTTCCATTTCGGGACATGAAAATTTATGTAAACGTGTTGGTACAACAACATTTGGACTATTTGAAGAATTCGTAGTTGAACAAACTGAACGAGGTGGTGATGAAACTAATCCCATTGATGGAAATGATGATGATGATGAAGCTGAAGATAATTCAATCATCACTTTTTTTTCTTCCTTCGATTTTAGATAACAATAAATATAAGAGCAATAAGAATTTTGTTAAGCTGTCTATTATGATTCATACTAACACATGTCTCCTTATTCATGACTCATATTTAATAAATAAAGCCTAGGAAAATTTCAGTAAATATTTTTTTAAATAAATTATTCTTTTCAAGTTATTTCATAACAGAAAGAAATTATTTCGTTGTTTTATTTAGAATGAATTATAATGAATAAACTTATTTATCTGTTAACTAACGACATCTTCTGTATTTTGTCTATGAAAGTAAAAGGAATAGATTTTAATATCCTATAGCTTTTTCAAGTTGCTTTTTAGTATTAAATAACTATTCTCTTATTTCCCTTTGTGAAAGAACTATTTCGGAAATAATATTTCTTAAGCTTAAGTGTTTTTTTTTTTGGGCATTTGCATCTGAAATACTTTTGTTTCACTGAGCAATTCTATTTCCGAAGCCATAGCTATCTGTGTAAGAAAAAAAATAATAAATATCAATCATAATATGCATCAATACTTTTCTTAATATTCGAATGAATTCTTTTTTGTTTTTTATCTTAAAATGTAATGTATGTGATTAGATAAGGTTCTAGCAAAAGACTAAAAAAGAAAACAGATTGTAATGTAGATATATAAATATTTAAAGTAATGACATAAAGATAATGACTCGATAATAGATAAAAACAATGCTCGTGACCAATAAAGTAATGAGTTCGAATTCTTATTATCTAATTCATATTTGTCTATTATCAAAATATAGAATATATTACGAATAAGAACATAGTAAATAGTTTTAAAAGAGTAACTATTAACGTAGAAAATCATTTGATAATTCTTATTTAATGTTAATCAAAAAAGAATATATATATAGATAAACTAGTTAGTCAAATATGAATAAATATAGGCAAACATACAAATACTTTAAGTAAAAATTAAAAAAAAAAATCTAGTTTAAAATAAAGGCACCAATCAATATTTAAGTTTCAAACAGATGCGAAAATAAATAGAACCAAAAAAAAAAAAGAAGCACCAAAATATATGAGTTCTTTTTCAATAATAATTTGTTCTATTTGATGATGGATAGTTTGGTGTTGACGTAGTTCGTTGATGATAAGATGGATCCGAATATTGAATGCCTAAAACATAATTAAATTATTATTTAGGGTCAAAAACAAAAAAACGTGCTCATGCATAGTTTTCTATTTTTCACAAAATCTCATGCTAACACAAACACCTACGAGGTGGTCGAACGAATACTGTCATAGTCGTTCGTTTACGTGTTGGAGATTCTGTCGAGAAATAATAATTGTTTTAGAAAAGAAAAAGCCAATGTTAATACTCTTCTAGTTGTATTATTCAATACTCACCTTGATTTGATGACCAATTATCAGTTGAAATTCGATTTTCTCGTTCTAAAATTTAAATATTTTAAAATTTATTGATTGATTAAATAAATACTAAACATACTATCAAAATTATCATTATTACGTTGAAATGAATTTGATGTCCAATCATTATTTGTATCAATTTTTTTATAAACATTTTCACGACGAACAGTACTTGGTGATGATATATATTGAATTGGTATATTTCTTACTGTTGATACTGAACTATTATTTTGTCGATAATTTATTGGGATATTACGTTCAAAACCTAGTGAATTATTTCCAATGCTAGATTTAAAAAATGAATCATCAAATAAATCATCATTAAAGCGCCAACGAAGTGGACGACCAAAGTCGTCATCAAAATTCCAACGAAGTCGACGATCAAAGTCGTCATCAAAATCCCAACGAATTCGACGATCAAAATCATCATCAAAACGTCGACGAATTCGACGACCAAAATCGTCACGAAGTTTTCTTGAACGACGTTCAAAAAAATATGGATCATCAATACGATCAAATGCAAGAGATGGTGCTGAAAAATCTCGTTCAATTAAACGTGAACTTAATGGACGATGACGATATGAAGAACTTGAACGATCATTATTGTATGATGATGAACGAGCATAATGTGAACGAGATTCTTTTGACAAACTTCGTCTTGATGACATATTGATATAAATCAAGATGAAATAAGATGCTTTACAAATCTAAAATGAGAATAAATAAAATTAAAATCCATCGGATTTATAGAGTAAAAATAAAATATATAAAGCTTTGTGTAAATATAACCTTTATGATAACATAGTGGCTTTGTTCGTTTGGGGGGCATATGTCATTATCAAACAATCATACTATTGGTATTAACAACGAACAAGAAAAACATATAATAAGAATAGAACAGGGTATTTTCCTTTTTTTTTTTATACGCTTCTTCTCATATTTTTCTCTTTATATTACGATACATGGTGACGATTAGAAGTTTGATGACGCACAACGATTAATATTTTCGTTAATGATAGTTGAAGAAAAAGTACCTTTGATGAAGATGAAAATAGTTTTCTTTTTCCTAATTGATAATAATGCTCTTCTACCATATGTGTGCAACATAAACAATAACTAATCAAACAAGCAAGGATAAGCATTAAGGAATAATTTATTTCTGAAATTCTTTGTAGAAAAAGATACTTCCGAATATTTCATTTCAAGTCAATAAAATAAAAATAAATCATTTTTAAGGTTGGATAGCGTTGTTCAGCGTTTTTTGTTTTCGGACGGAATCGAACCGTCATTACAAGTACCCAAAACTTATATCATACCATTAGACTACGAAGTAGCTGAACAACTACGCCAACTATCGATAAAATGAAAGAAGAAGACTATATTAACTGTTTCTGTCTGTGTGATTGAGCAATAACTTTAAGATATTTCTTACTCGTATGAGAAGAAAAACAAATACCATTCATGTGTCCTTGACAAAAACAAAATGCATCATTATAGCAAAGATCGATTTATGTACACGTATCGTCACAGAAAGGGCAAGAATAACCCCAAAAAAATATAGCAAAGAAAAGAAAAAAAAGAAGAGGAGTAAACACCAATGGTTTTTATGCTTCTCCAGACATATTTATATACGAAATTACATTCCATATTTATTCAACGTTTATCAATATCACATGATCAACATCTGTGGCAGTCACTTTGCTGTTATCTTTCTTTTTGACACTAAAGATATTCTATGAAATGATTTATATCATTTAACACGGATTGAATCGATCACCTGTCATTAAATACCATAACTAATCTTTTGAAACATATTTTCTTCATAAAAAACAATAACACTGACAAAAACAATATAGAACATGCTATGACTATGTCTATCACAGACCAGATAAGAAATATGCCCTTTAAAATAATTGAGTAAGCATGAAAGGAAATAAGAGATCATTTTGATTGAGGGACACCCAATTGTCATTATTCCAATGATAAATACCAGCGGAAACTTAGACTTGATATTGACAGATTATAGCTCTGTTTCAACCCTTATCCTATGTCTAACCAACAAAAACATTTGTATTATTTATTTATTTTTTGATAATTTATGACAAAGACGTGTTTAATTCTTTCATGCACTTACGTAAATATATTTCATTTATTTTTTTAAAATCTAACATTGTTTTTGTATGAAATTAGAAACAAAAAAAAAGTCATGATGATATTTATATAAATTAATGAGGAAAATATGACGTTTACTAATAAAAAAAAAAAAAAAACTTGATCAAACTAGATTTCTAACCTAAGAATTATTTCAAATAACCAAATAGATTATTTCATTTATTTTAATTTTTAATTATAACATCAATTTTTTTTTTCGTATCTTTCACATCTTATATTCATTACAAAAAAACTGATGTAACTGAAATTACTTTTATTTATTCTTTTATCTATAAGAAAAGATCAATACATGTGTTTATATCTGATCTACAAGCATTGCATAGTTTCTTTTTTATTTATGAATATGTCAATTCATGAGAAATGACGACTCTATTTAAAAATATTTTGGGAACAAAATGTTACATGCTGCTATTTATTTGAAATCATATGTTAGCATCGAGTATATGTTATACCATTCGTTCCTTTTTGACTTTTTATAATATATATATATAAACACATTCTCTTATTCAAGCGGATCTACGTTCGTCAATGTTTTTCAACTTATTTTTAATCAACAATATTCCCTAGAGGAATACACTATGTTTAGAGATCAAACAATAGAAAATTGATTGTTTTTTTATATCCATTTTCAACAATTAATGACACGAGTCAGTATGATCTTAGATATATCGATGTATTCATTGATAATCACGCGATGATTATATATATATATATATATATTCTTTATTTTCATAATCGAGTCGTTTTCTAGTCGGCATCTGTGTAATTTTAATGAGACTCTTCTATCAATAACGTCATGGATTAGTACATTTTCCGACAAAATATTTTTTTTAACAATCCGCTTTTGTTCTATTTTTAAACTTTCCTTTTCATTAAGAGATAAAAGAAGAAAATTTTTCATCGTTATAATGATGAGTTAATCATATCGAGTTATGATGATACAACAAATGAAGATAATTGAACGGTAAATAAAAAAACACACAATAGATTTTGTCAAACTGTAGAAAAAAAAAATATTTGTTTGGGTTTCAACAAGTAGAAACAGACTTAATAGCATTAGACAATCGAAAAAAATATGCTATTAATTCATGCGAGAAATAGAACAGAACTTTGTAAGTCATTTAATTGGTTTTTTTTTTTTCGTTCAATCTTCTTATACCCGAAAGATGAAGAGAAATAAAATATATCAACTCCATCAATATCTTCATATTACAATATATTCAAAGTTTATTTTAAATAATTAATAGATTTAAGTATTTAATTTGTAATCTTATATATTTATTTCAATAAAATAAATTCGATTAGTTTAACTATAAGGATTAAAATTCATTTTTTATTTATTAATTATCGGTTTACTTGAACATCTTGTTTCTGTTAAAGACAAGAAAACAAAGTTAACTCGTGCGAATTATGATGTTCATTGACATAAATAATAATTTCAAATCAGAAAAGCAGTAAATGAATCGACACATGTTCCTTTCCATCGTTTTTATACATGATTAACAACAAATGCGTTTTCCAACTGGAAGCTTTTATATAATTAAAAGCTAGATAACGTTAAAAGAGATAAGTTTAGATTTTTAAAAGCACATTATATATATATATATTTACTAAAGATATCGATACATTAAACATTCTGAAATATCCTATTAAAAAAAAAATTCTCATTTCCTTGCACAGCTGTTAAAACATTGAAATATAATCATGCTTACAAGACTTTGTCAGTAACAGTTCATCAGGATGATTATTTTACGATGTTACAATAAATACATTCTATTTGAGTTTAGATTCAAACTTAGTGAGATGAATTCAAGAGTAGAATCATTAAAAACTTATCAATATTGTTGTTTGTTTTTTTTCTCTAATTTCTCTCACGTAACATATTTGCGTGACTATTTTGTTTTTCAATTCATATTATTACACTTTTACCAAGTAATATTATAATAGATAGATAAGAGATGAAGATTTTATAATCTCACTTTTCTTATCTGAAGAAAAACAAATTAAGTGTCAGAATCAATTACGATTTCAATTATTATTAGAATCATGTGAACAAGATCCAGATAAACAGTCATATTTGTTTAAAAGGTAGATTTTTCTTTTTCTTAAACAACATGATGAAAAAAAAACTGAATTTCAGATGAATGGATGATAATTATTGAATCAACGGATGCAATCATCGGAAAAAAAACAGAAAAGAACTACTTCCTTTCATCATCACCTCTGAGCCTGTTAGCTAGTGACGTTGATGAACTTAGACATGTTTGTTTTTCTTCTCCGTATTTATACATAAATATTTATAAACGTTTCTTAAAAACTAACATTTCTTATCAATCATTTTTACTCGATATTTACTAAATAGTTAAAAGAAAGTTGTTGAATTCATCATTTTTTGTCAAGTGAATAAAGATAAATCATTATTAGTGCAACATAGTCTGTGAAAGATTCATATTTTAAATAGAAAACTTTTGTGAAATCGAAATAGCTTAATAGATTTTATCTAGATGAGGTAGAACAAATTTTTATTCATTAAAGTATTAGACGATATATTTTATAGAAAGGAGAAAACTTGATTTTACCGAACTATTCTTCTTGGTTCCTTTTATGTTTACGAGACTAGATGTAATTAACGACATTATTTATAAAACATTATGTAGTCTAATATTATTCTTGTCAGAATATTTTTCCTTTTCTATAAAAAGTTTTTAATTTTTTAATGTAAAAATACCAGAAGAATTGAAATAAATTCTTTCATGTTTTTCTTTTTTCTATTGAATGATTAAAAAAAAATTTTTTTATTGTCAATTACTATGAAGACAACAAGCTGATTATTTATTAATTGTTTAAATAAAAATTTCATGAATAGAAAAAAAAAAAAACCTTTCGTAGCAATTTTTTAACAACCAATAGAAATATTTTTCCAAGAGAGAAGTATCATCATATAAGAGATAAGAAGTCATTTTCTACCGCTTCATATATTAACAAGTATTCAGTTCAGGTGGAAAATGAGTTTTCATCATGCTTGAACAATTATCAAGAGGGTTCAATTATCTTGAGAATACAATAGAATCTTCTTTATATATATTTAGTTATCCTGTAAGAACCTTTTATTTTCTCTATTAGAATTTCGTAGTTACTATTTTACATCAGATATAAATCGATACAAAATCAATAATTATAGTTTTTATTATTGATGTTAAATTAGAAAGAAATAAGGTTAGTCCGATCCACAAGTATATAAAAAATAATATAAAATATAGAACAGCCGGTAACTTGTCAACAATGACAGATGACTATCCACTTAGATTTCTACGTCAAAACTTGTTATGATGAGTTTTATTATGACATCAGAAAATGTTTAAAAAAAAAACAAGATTTATGACAGTTTTGTTCATTTCTAATATTTTTTTTAACTTTTTGCATAAAACAAAAAGAATTTTTTGTTACAACATAAATTGATTTTATTTTTAGAATAAATTTTAATTTTTCTTAAAAATGAATAATTTATCATCACATAATGTTTTAATTTGGGCTCAACATGAAATAGATGATTTATGGAATTCTATCAATAAATCTCCATCAGATTCTTTTTCGTATTGGATCTCATTAGCAAGTTTTACATTTGCTGTATTAGGTTCATTAAGTAATTTAATGTCTGGTATTGTTTTATTAAAATTAAGTACACAATTATCAACATTCGTTTATTTAACTAGTTTATCAATATCTGATATGATAACATGTATAACAATAATGTTAATGTTATTAATTCAATTTTTACTTCAAACTCGACAAAGTACATCAGTAACAATTTTTCTTCGTCAAGTTGAAATTATATTGGGAGCTTTAGCTGCTGCCAGTAGAGTTTTATCATTTTGGATATCAACTGCAGTTACAATCGATCGATATATATTAATTTGTTATCCATTGTATGGAAAAATATTTTGTACATTAAATAGAGCAAAAATTGTTTCACGAACATTATTTATTGTTGCATTTATTTATTCAGTTCCACTTCTTTTTGAATATGAAGTTATTAAAATGCCAAGTGTTTATCAAATGGTTCAGTTTGATAATGAATCAGCGGCACTAAACGATGAAAGACTTAGTAAAAATAGTATGCTTGTTACAAAAGGTTATACTGATTTAGCTAAAAGAAGAGCATATCGTTGGGCTTATTTGTTTTTTAATGCTATATTTGTTTATACATTACCAACATTAATAATAATTTTTTCGAATTTACAATTAATAAGTGCTTTGAAGCGTCGTAGATCTCGTGCAAAAAATATAAGAAGAAGACATCATTTAAATCATTCTGGAAAAATAACTCGTCAATCTAATCGTTTTCATCATTCAAAATATTCTATAACAATAATGGTTATTGCTATGGTATTAGCATTACTATTATGTCGAAGTCCAACAATAGTTCTTTGGATATTATGGTCATTTGAATTAACAATAAAAACTTTCTTTGATTCATCATCAAGTTCATTTGTAAGACGTTTTCATAATATAGCAAATTTAATAGCTATTATTAATGCAGCTACAAATTTTATTCCATTTTGTGTATTTGGACAATTATTTCGTGATGAATGTTTAACAATTTATTGTTGTCGAAAACCAACAAGCGAACAATTAGTAAAACAAGCAAAATTTATACATGAACAAAAACATCGACATGTAAAAAAAACTGCAAAAATAAAAGCAACTTTTAATGAAAGAAGAACAATTAATATTGAAACAGATTATTTACATACAATATCATCCGTAAATTCTGATTCAGTAAGTGGAGCAAGTCCACCATCTAATGATCAAGTCATTCAACTCGTATGCTAAAATTATTCATACTTGTATTGATTCGACTTGTAAATATACAAAAAAAAAAAATTTTTTTAAAATTATTTTATGTCGTTACACGTTTATTTTATGTAATAATTGGACTTAAGTGTATTCTTCTTTAATATTGATGTTGTAACCGATTCAAATAAAATTCTGTTTTCAAAAATGATATTTTAATTAGATTGAAAAATGTTAAAGATACTTATATGATCAATATCAAGTTAATTGAATTTAGAAATGTGCGGAAGTATGATCGATAATGTTTTATTATTTCTGAGTGAATTATATTCATAATAAAGATCACAAACGAATATTTTGAAAAAAAAAAGAAACAAACGCTGTATTTATTAATTTAAATGTTTTAGATTTTATTTTAATAATTGAAGTTCATTTGAATTTTATTTAAATATTTTTAGTTAAATTCTTCAATGAAAAAATAAATCTGCTAATCTTATCAATTAAATAACAAAGTGGATTTTTAATACCTTTCATCATTGTGTCATCTGACGGCTTTTTTTTAATATTTAGTTTCATTTTTACATAAAGAGAATGAAAAAAAAAATCAAGCATAGCATAATAGTATGTAAAAACGTTACTTTTTTAGAATTACTTATTAATGTCAACGTTTTTTGTTCTTTCACTAAAAAAAAAAAAAGAGATCCCATCAAAATGAATATTTAAAATTATTGAATACAAAATTTTTTTTTAATGCAAGGAACTCTTTTCATAAGATTTTTATTTTAAAAATGTTTATAAAACATTAAACATAGATGCATCAGTTTCCAGTCATAGATATTTTCTTCGGTTTTCTTTTTTTCATCTTATAATATGTATATAATGGAATTGTTCCAGCTACAAGACCACCAAAAATCATAATAGAACCAACAAGTGCAAATGGTATTGTCCAACTTTGTGTTTTATCTTTCAGCAAACCTATTTTAAGTGTTTTATATAAACAAAAAGATATCAATTATCAATATATACGACTCACCAAGTAACGGATAACCGAACAATGATGTTGATCCACTAACAAGTAAACTAAATCCATAAGCCAAAGGATAACGATGCATACCAACAACTTCTATCATAATAATATTGCCAAGTGCATTAGGAGCTGCAAGAAAGAAAGCATGAACAGCAAAAAGTAAACATAAACTAATAATTCCATAAGATCCAACAAATGGAGCTATGCTAAGTGTTAAACCAGCAATAATTGATGTACATGTCCATAGAATAAATGAATCAATACATTCAATATCACCCAAATATCTTTCAACAAATAAAACAATTATATTATAAGAAATTTTTAGAGCATACCCGAAAAATAATTGTCCTATTAAATCTGCCACACCTATAATAGAAATTAATAATGTTGATCGTTGTTCTGATTGTCCAGATGATTTAAGAAGATCAGTAAGAAATAAAAAATTTGTTTCATCCAATGACCAAACAAGAATTATTGATATAATTAGTATACGAAAAATATTAATACGAAGTAAACAACATATTTCAGAGATTATTTTATAATGAAAATATTCATTATCTTTGGATAAATTTGATTGTATTTGAAATTGTTGCTGTTGTTGTTGAGATATATCAATTTGTTTATAAATTGTATTATCTGTCATTCGAACTGCATGTGCAATAGCCACAAATGATAAACGATTGTGATCATTATGAGGAATTAGTGAATGAGCATTAGTATTTATTGATTGAAGAGTATGAGACTTCATGATAATTGTTGATGAATCTACTGAGCTAAATAAAGAAATTAGTCTATTTTACAATTCAATGGCTAAGATTAAAAACTTGTTGAGATTTTATGAGAATTTTTCTATTCAGTTTGCTACTTATTTTTAATGTCAAAATAGAAAGAAGTGTGATGAGAATGAGAACAACAAAAATGGTGATGATTGATTCTTCAAGACTATCGATCTTTTATGATATAGGTAAAATATGTTTTATGCTACTAATAGACAAATTCAATCAATAATTAGTAGCCCTTCATTTGTGAATAATTATAATTGCTTTTTGTTGACAATTTCTACATACCTTCTTGATTTATCTCGAAGATTAGATGTTATTCCTTCTAAAATATTAGGCATATTATCCATTAATTTATCACTATTGCGATGTTGTTGATAGGATGATGACAAACGTTTTTGTTGTTTATGATAATGAACAGACGTTGGTAAAAGAGATGTTCGTCGACTATATACTAATCCACTATTGGATGCATTAGATTGATGTTGCATAATTGTGGGATGTTCTTTTTCATTTTCTGTCTTTGTCATAAAAGATTCATCTGAAAATATTTCAGTATTTTCTTCTTCAATACTTATTACACCTTGACCAAACAGAGAACCAGCAAGAGCAACACTTAACCATAAACAACTTCCTAAAAGTGTTGCTCCACGAAGACCATATGAATCAAGAAGATATTGAAGTAACAATGGAATTCCAAACATTCCAATTGATGCACCACTTACAGCTGAAGCAGTTGCTAATGAAACACGATTAAAGTGAAAGTAAGGTGGAATGGCCAAAACGGCCTAGAATACAATCTACGAAAATTATTCTTCGATATAAAACTTACAGGTACAAGCATAAAAGCTTCGCCAGCACCAATAAGAACTCCATAGAATGAACAATAAGCCCAATAATCTCCAACAGTGGCTGCTAATATCGAACCAATAGCTGAAATAAAAGCACCCGATACTGTTGTCCATCGAACACCATACTTTATTGTCAATACGCTGGCAAAAACGCTGAATACAGACATAGTAGCAATTTGTATAGAACCTGGAAGAGTCGATTTAAATGATGATAATTGATAAGTATTTTTGAATGCATCTTCGAATATTCCAGTTGAAGAAATAAATCCCCATGTAATAGCATTTACATAGAATGAAGCAGAACATATCACAAAACGCCAACGAAGACGAGTTAAATCGATAGTATCATGAGATGAATGTGATATTTCGATAGGCATAATGCATGCTGATATTATCATAATGGCGCGCTTCAATTTGTTTATATTATTGTAATCATATTCGCTTTAAAAATAAATAACAACTCTAAATATACTTTTAAATCTACTTATTGAAGAAATTTAATGAGCCATGATGATCTCTATCGAGAGAGTATAAATCTCTATTCTTAGCATGATTACGATGACATTTCAATTTATATTTGCCAATACTATTTATAGCATATTTTAATGGGATGTAACTTCGTTTCATTACGTAGTCATTTTAGGTAGAGTTTGTCAAACGGAGAAAAGCGATAGTTTCAGAGTGCGTAGTTGATTCTGCGTCGAAATTTGTTCGAAGTAACGAATGAAGTGGAATATATGGCCGCATTTTGTATTTTATTTTTTCGTCCTCTTATATGTTTTATTTAAAAAAATATAATACCATAAGATGCAGCGTGAAAAACTGTACAATTTACAAAGAACAGCTTAGTATATATATACATGTATATGCACCTTTTGTTTTGAAAATAAATAAAATTCTGTATGACCAGTTTTCGATGGTGCGAACAAATTCATTTTCCTATTGCATCAATTAATGAATCATAGTTTTTAGCATTATTCCATTGACTACGTTTCGTACTTGTTTAGTACTTTGAATGGATGTCATGCCATCATGAATCATTCACATAACCATTTTTCTTAGGTCTTCAGATTTCTTTTCTTCTTATTAAGTAACATACTTATACAGATGCAATTTCTATTGTGATGACGTTTGTATGTATCTTTAAAAAAAAAACATTAGAGCGAATGAAAAAAATATAATCGAAGGTGGTCTAAAATCGGTCATTGATTATGCCCTTCGATATGACTCATAATCGAAGAAGTAACAAAAGGAATTCGCCGTATACAAAAAAAAAAACAGAATATCTTTTTCGTAGCATTGAAATTTGGTCACACGATTTCGTCTATTTTTAACACTAAAGATGCATATGTACAATAATCTTTGTATTTATTGTACATTGTAGAGTTTTTTAAGTTGCATCTTGTGATATATTTAGTTTTTTTTTTGATAAAACGTATTAGATGATGAAAAAATAAGATGCAAAGCGAGGTCATTTATTTTAATCCACTTGTTATTCAGTAAACTAGTTTTTAGCATGAATGTCAACGCTTGAAATATCATTTACGTAGTAAACATTTAATTCTTGTAAAAGATCAGATGTTCCTTATCACCTGTCTAGAACAAGTGTTGAAATGCGCAACTGCTAGTAAGATGAGGCAGATTGCAATCCTCCTCTTTCTTTCTAATGTCAAAAATTAAAAAATAGAAATGAACTAAACTTTAAAAACTAGTTTCACATTGTCTTAATATTGATTATTCAATAAATTTCACAATAACTTATCAGAATTTATCTGTTCAAGGATGTTTTTACGATATGTTGTTGATACTGTGTTTAGCAAACGTGTATCTAATTATAAGTCACGATTCTGATCAGCTCTATCCGAAGTTCAATATTACATAAGTGAAAAAAGTTGATCATAAGAATTCTTGATGTCATATTAGAGTCTAATCATTAAGACAAAATAGTGTAAATGCCACTAGTCGTTTTTCATTGACTCGTCAAATTCATAAAATCATCTGGTATTCATTTTTTGATAGCACCTTCATATAACCGATAAAGTAAGATAAATCATATATATGTGATATCGAATAATGATACGTAATTACATAATCATTTAAAGAATGGTCAGCATTAATTTTTTTTATTCAAAATTTTCTTGCAATAAAGTTACTTAGGGGAAAGAACTAGAAAGGATTGATATATTAACGAGACAAATCACGCATGAAATGAAAAGAGTATAGGCAAAGGTAATTTTGTTTGAGGATGAAGAAAAAATGCGTCCGTTACACAATTCTGATGAGCAACAACAATATGTGTTAGTGATGTTGTCCTTCTTCTCAGTGTGACAATTATTTTCACCAAAAGTACACCAAGTGAGGGCGACTACGTTCCGAGCGATAGCTTCGCTTCCGTCATCATGAGTAGTTCTCAATGCCTATTCAATAAAAGGTCAATATCAAAAAGTCTTCAAATAAAGCAACTTACACCACAAGTTTCATTAGCAGTAGCTGCTACTATTCTAACATTAGACATGTCATTCGTTAAATCTGTTGACAATTTTTCAAATGTTCAGCATTTAATAAAATAGTAGTTTTCACGAGTTTTATGAATTGTATCCTAGTATTTGGTTGGAATGGTTCACCACAACCTGGTGCCAGAATAGTCCAGCATTCATAACAATTGTAAGCATGCGAAACAGTTACGCCTAATAATAAATTAAAGATGAAAATTTGAATTTATTCGCAGAAGACTCATACCAACGAACAAATAGAAGACGAGAGCGTATGAAACATGCATCAGTAACAAATCAAAATATAAATGTGCTTTGAGATGTGTGATTTTGCATTTTCTTTGTCAAATACGCTTCTTATCTCAGTACTTATGTAAAGAGTTGCAATCTTGCAAGATAACAAAATAGTAAGCTATGCCTCGGACGATTTCATTTAGATTTTTTTTCATAGTCAAGATCAGAGACAAATGATTCGTAGGCAAATATTATCAGCCAGCCAAACTGTTCTATAGACATATGAAAAACAAAACTTGTATATCCAAAAACAAAAGAATTCGATATCATCAAGTGTTAATATATTGTATAATGATATTTCATTCCCACGTAACAAGGGAAACTCGTGTCTTCTTACTTTTTCAATTCTCTCAACATTGTCAGATTTTGTACAAAAGAGCGTTAACAATATCTATATGGCATGATGTGTATTTGTATGACAAGGTAGATGCAAATCTATTGTTTCTCTAATATTTCTCTGATTGAACTTAGAAAAGAATCAGATCAGTACAAACGTCACAATATGAGATATTTTGATTCTCTCAATGGCTGATATATAAAGCCAGTACATGTAAGTCATGATTGGTTCTGAAAGAACTTGTTCAATTCAAGATCTTAGATACTGTTCAGGGCGCATGTGTTCGAAGGAAAGGCCTACCGACACCCACATCTTCATTTAGATTAATATTCTTATTCGAATCTATTCAAATACAACTCACTTTATTTTTGCGTCTACGCATACTATTCGGCAATCTCATATCATATAGAAATCTCAAAAGCTAATAAAAGAATTCGAACAAAATCTTTAACGAAACGCATCCTAACATCTGATAAACGGATTGTAGCAATGTAGACTATTTAAAAAAATGATTTAATGATGAGAAACGATTATAACTGCTACTTGCTACATTATTTTCAATTAGCTTTATTCTTATGAGAGAAGAGTAAGATAGTTAAAAATCCTGAACAATATTCTTTATTCGAGAACTCAAGATTTTCAATATATTCGCATTCAGTTCTTGTTTTTCACAATTATGTTATTCATGAAAAAAATGTTCATTGGAAGAGTAGATCTGTGACAAGTAGCAGATATTTTCCCTAAACATTATTCTTCACAATGATCAGTCTGTATGTTGATGAGGAAAATTTATTGTCAGCTGTATCAAATTAGATCAAATATATATATATATTGTTTTATCTTTTTGTCAGGATGGGAGATAAATCATTTGTTCTTTTGTTGTTTTATGCACTCATTCTATTATTTTCTTTTTGTCTTTTGTGTCCAGGTGAAAGTTCTTTTAACCTCATATATATCGACTTCACCAAGCGTAACGCGATGAAGTTTTGGGCTATAGTATTTTTAATCTTTCTCAGCAATTGGGGCAATTAAAAATCTAATTATTTCGTCAAAACGTACGTCTCTATGCTCCCCTTCCATCCCCGAAAATCTGAGTTCATTTGTCTTAGCCATTTGGAAATTATAGCAAAAATATATAGCGAAACGCGATGACAAAAAAGGGACAAAAAGTTGAGGGTAGCGTGTTTGTTGTTGATCTTCTACGAATGTCTGCCACATTGAAAAAAATGATTCAAAGAAGACTTGTAGCCGACAGTTTGGAGTATCCAACGAAAGAAAAAATTTACTCAAATACACTATTTATTTACATGAGATTTCGTTTTAATTAACGTAACGCGATGATGAAAATCAAGATTCAGAATACCCTTATTTGCTTTTAAGATCTTCTAAGTAGTTACTAAAGTTAACAGCATCGCTTCTTGCTAGAAGAAACAAATCGTTTTTAGTCGTTTATATACTAGAACATATTATAAAAAAAAACGTGATTTTCGAAGTTGGTGATATCATAAAAGGTGACGCGTTACGCGGTGAAGCCGATATATATATATGGATGTTTTTCTCTCAAGGAGAGCTTTTTTGGATTAAAAGTAAAGTAGAAGGAGAGTGTGGCAACGAGAACTATGACTCTTTTGAAAAATTATTTTATTCCACTTATATTTTTTCATTCGATATCAGAAGAACGATGAGATAAAAAAATATGATTGATCTACATTATAAACTTTACAAGCAGAATAGATTAGCTTTAGTGCCCTAAAGTTGATGAAAACAGGTAAAAAATCGCTGAAATCTTATCGGTTCGATTCTGAACCGACTTTGTTAATAGATCATGAATGATAGAATCTTAATATTGTACAATGATTAATTGATTGATTCAACATAGTGCAGTGAAGAGCTATCACATTTATTCACTTTTTAGCAGAATATGGCAACGTCTTACATCCTTAAGTGCAAGCACAGTTATATTTATTTTCTCTCACATTGATCCACATATCTTTTGTTAACACCAACATAAGTGTCACAGTTGTCGTAAGTATCGATCTCTATTTTCTTAAATCGTGTGGAATGATGTCGAAAACAAGCCCAACCATATTTGGAAAAAATGTTTTCTTAGGCTGTTTTGGATCGAATGTCTCTATATAAAACTCTGAGCTGTTTCCTTAAAAAATGGCTTATAAACAAATCAAGAACCAAATAGACGTTAACTTGATGGAAGCAGAATAAACTCAAAGTTGTGTCCAGTAGTTAGGGTCTACATTACCATTATTGTTTATTTCTATTACGCAGTAATTACTAATAACTATTATTACTTTTTATCAGTGTGTGTTTTGTTTTTATTATTTTAATAATATTACAGCTTTTATTGTTTTTTTTTTTCAATGAAATATAAACTAATTTCTGATTATTTTGTTACTGATTACATTTATTACTTTTCCATTTGTATTAGTTATTCTCAGTAATTACCAATAAAAATTTGAAAGTAATAAAACAAATTAGTAATAAAGGAAAAATAAATGAATCAAATTTAACCGAAATACGAAGTTTAGATAGAAACAAAGATTTTTCTTTTTATCTGGTTACATTTATCATATAGTGGTGTTGAGAAATAGTGATTTCATTAAAAGAATAAGTAAGTTTTATTATATACTGTCTATATTTATTAAATAGTACAAAATTTTGCATTATTATGTAGCTCATCAGAATTTTTATATGAACATATGAGAAATTGCATGCATATGTCTTCTGCTTTTTATAGAAGAAAAGATATTGAAACAAAATGAATCTAATTATTTTTTAATTAGCTAATTAGAAGAAGAATACATATTATTTAGAGCTCTTCCATAACAATCGTCTTCGTCTAATAAAATTGGTCCATGTTTGCAAAATTTGAAAAATATAACATTAATATACACTTGTATAGTTCAAATTTATTAATAGTGAAAATTGTCTAAATTAGGAAAGAAAGAGATGAGTGCTTTTTCGATGTGCATTAACAAGTCTTCATTACGAGACTGAATAAACGCGCTATATTTTGAAGAAGTATCATTGCAACCTATTATAGTCTCCACCATCGAGAAACTATATTAATTCTTCAATAATTCATAAATATCGACATAAGTCTATGTTGAAAAAATAAAACTCAGCATTGTTCTAATGTTTTAGTGCGAGTGAAATATTCAATCGATGATAAGAGATATTTCTACTATCGTAGTTGTGTATTATTTAATTACTTTAGTATTATTTTATTTGTTTTTTTTTAATGGTTATTACTTTTTACTGAAAAACACAAATAAGCCGAAATATTATTAGGTTTTACTTATTATCAATATTGATAATACAGCACTCCTATTCAGTATCTATGGAGATTTGATTCTCTTCGCACTATTACTGCATTGTAACGCCATCTGCTATATGTAAAACTTATTTAAAAAAAAACAAAGAAATAGATAAATCAAGAATTTGAAGAACTTAATTTCTGTCAAATCTTTTTTCTGATTCTTCAATTTCACCTATATTAATAGTGCAACTTAAATGGATTATGATTCGTATATTTGAACACGAGTTATGTCGTAAGGGTTACGTAGTTAGACATTACTCATTATGAACATTACGATGAGTCATCTCGCGAATAGATGAAGTCACTGATGCGAAGAAAGGCAAAAAAAACTTTCACTTTCATACACAGTCCAAAATGAATGAACGATTTAGTACCAAAGTGGTTTAGTTACGATCTGTATAGGTATGTGACGATCATTGGTGGTCTGAACAAGGATAGAGGTAGTCAGAAATGTAGCATTCTCGAATTGTAAAAACTTTGTTTTCTACCAACAGAGTAAAAATATTTTTTGTGCTTGGTTGAAAGAAACATATGTTCTCTTTGCAAAAAATCGCGACACTCCCCATTCGCTCACAATGTTAACCGCTTCGAGCTAGCACGAGTGACGAGTAGATTTGAATCTAAACAACTGCTAATATCTGTTAAACATTATTTTGTGATTTTGGAGTAGATCAAACTCATAAAGGCAACACATTACATGCTGTACGTGTTGATATGTTTTTTCATATGATCACTCGTGTTGATACTTGTTCTAATGGTAGAAGAACAAAATTTGGGCATGGTCAGCTAACTCTGCTACCGGAGTGAAATTCCGTAACGACAGTTTGACGTTTTCCTCTGGTGATAGTTTTTTAACGAAAGCATATGTATTGTTGTGGAATGTATAGAATTGTAAAGCAAATATTTCTCTACAAAATGAGACGTCTCCGAATTCTGTACGTTTATTTGTTCAAAACCTAAAAGGAAAATACTAAATGCTACTTTTCTGAAATGTAGCTTGAACAGGGCGTTTTGTATTTCCCTTTTAGTTTTTAAACAAAGAAACGTACAGAATCCTGAGAAGTCTTATTTTGTAGAGAAGTGTTTGCTTTACAAGTCTAGACAATACACAGCACTACATTCGCTTTCGTTACGGAATTTCACTCCGGTAGCAGAGTTAGCTGGCCTTGCTCAATTGCAACAAAATACGAAATAGATTCATTTTTTACGCAAAAGAACGATATATTTATATTTCTTTTCTTTATGGTTTAATTCATTACGGTACTTTGCTTGTTCTATAAGTATTTTGATACGATGAAAACTGAGTAAGTCTGCAGCTTTTTAGTAAGATCTACGAAAGTAAAAGTAGTTTCGAAATATAATTTCTGTCTTTATTAATAATACTGTTTGAAACTGAATAAAATCTGAATATAGATTATGAAATAGTTTTGCACACGAATTCGCTCATTGTCCACAAAATCTGAATCGTCAGAGTATCTCTAAATAGAATTTTTTTTTCACTTTTTAGAAATTTTTAATGAACAACTATGCGACTTTATCACTTAAAGAGAAAACGGTACTCGATAATTCTTTGCTTTGGAAGTTTTATGTGTTTGATGATATACTTATTTATTCTCGTTGATAATATTGATTTGCAAACTAATCGTTATGAATCTTCAAAATGTCAGCAATTTTCAGCAGTTAAATATATATTTGACCTGGCATATTGGCGTGGACTTAATTTCAATGATCCTACTAATCGGTCATCATGGTGTGATATTCCAGATAAACTAAGATTGATTTCCAATGCCATTTGTCGAATATATAACTTGGGCGATTGTAAGCGTCTACCATGTCGAATGATATATGCTTCACCAAGTACATTGGAAGATGTCAAGTGTATGAATGATGGTCGAAGATTGAAAATTGATGATAATGTTTCGATCGAACATCAGTCAAATCTTCAATGTAAACGTGGTTTTACGTTAGATTTATTTTTGAAAAAATATGATAATTCTGCCTATCCATCAATCATTGCTGATCCATTGATTCCAATTTCCAAAGAATTATACATTGACGTATTATATAATAATTTTCGTAGTTGTGATAGTATGTGGGGATTCGTCTTTAATTTTGAATCAATTAGTAATTATCCTTGGGCTGCTGATAGTCAAAACCTAAAACTATTTGATATAACTCTTGGTTATGATCGATCAGTTTATGATCTTATTCCAGCTCCTTGGCTATTTAACTATGTTGAACAGTTGACATTTAACTCGAAAAGATTATCAATAGAGAAAGCAATGTCTAGTAAAAAACCAATTCATTCCATTACAATCTCAGATAATTATTGGACCAATACACTAACAGTGAGTAATATCTAGATACTGCTATAAACTGACACTTCGGTATTAGAGCAGGTGATTCAGATTAAACTGTGGCTTTTTAATAGACTTTTCCTAAAAGAAACTCGATCACAAAGTTGTTTCGGTGCTAGAAGTTAAAGAAATATGCAAAATCAAAACACTCTTAAAAAGGGATTCAAATTCGTTTTCATTACTGAAGCCATTATTAAGTTATATACTACACCATTTGTTTTTAGTGTAAAGTGCTGCACAGATACAACTTTCGGTACGTTAATCATATTCACAGAGATTTCTACCCATCCGAATCTAGTCGACGAGTAATGTCAAGCAAGACTACAGAATTCCAAAGAAAACCAAAAGTTTCAAGTCATTTCTAAGATCTTGAAAACATCTACCAATATGCCTAATTATCTAATTTCGACAAACTTTCATGTCAATAAAAAAATTTTTAACTTCAACGATAGGTTATAAAATAGGTCAAACCTTATCCAGAAAAGTGTTTGACAGGATCTGAAATGTTGCATCTATTTACTTGAAAGAATAATGACTAGTTTTCAAATAAATAACTAAGTTAATAGAGCACAATCTATTGTTACTATAGATCAACGTGAAAATTCGACCTCTTACTATGAAGAGGAAAGAATTGTTTCAATTTTTTGAATTCCGCTAGCTGAAAAAACCGAAATTTTAATCTGAATCACTTGTTAAAGAAAAGCTTGTGTACTTCTGTTGTGTTTTCATTTTGGATGGAGAGTCATTAGTCACTATAAATTACTAAAGCGAATCTTTGAAAGTGTTCACTTTTAGAATCAACGAAGGAAAAATATCCAATTCTATGTTCACACTATATTGAAATAATTTTCTATTAACTGCAATTTTATACAGTGTTTAAAATTGTATTTCTGTATTGTGCTGTGCTCTTTTCTAGAATACGTTTGTACCTCATCGAAAAGATCTTTAGTCACTACGTGCACACTTAAAGAAACTTGCATAAATGTTTAGAATCAGTTGGTAACTTACATTGAATAGTATTGACTGAGGTTTTGTTTAAAAAAATTAACAAGTATTTAGTTTCAATAACGTTTGTTTGAACTGAACAGCAGTTTTAACTAAGAGTTCTTCAATAGAAGAAGATAGAACAGAGAAAAAACTCGATCAAGAAATTCTTTTTTTCACTGAAGAAATTGAAAACAATTACAACCATCAGTATTATATTTGTTTTTTTTTTGTTAGCTCTCGTCAATGCAACAAGAGAAAAGCAATACATCGCATGTAAGAGCTCCAATTTTATGGATGAACAGTAATTGCCATACAAAGTCAAAGCGTACGGAATATATGCATGAATTGATGAAATACATAGATGTAGATAATTATGGTACTTGCGGCAATAATATTCGCAGTCTACCAGAACATATCGTCGAAATTCAACGTTCGATCAATCGAGACTTAAAAGATCGTGGTAGTTATAATTGGGAAGCAGGAAAATTAACATTATCAAGTGAATATTTATTTACCATTGCTATTGAGAACAGTCTTGGTTATGATTATATAACGGAAAAATTATGGCATCCATTGATTGCTGGAAGTGTACCAATTTATCTCGGTGCACCAAACGTTGAAGATTGGTTACCATGCGAGACTGACTGTATTATTGATTTAAGAAAATTTAAAACGCCAAAAGATGCTGCTGTATATATAAAAAGTATTGCAACGAACAGAACATTGTATGAAAGCTATCATCAATGGCGAAATCGACCTGTACGAAAAAAATTCCAAGATATGCTCAATTATTTTCAGAATATTGGTGATTATAGTCTTGACTGCATACTATGCGATATGTCCAATAGAGTCGGTCAAGGAGAAAACTTAATTGAAATAAAAAGAAGACTTAAGACAAAAATTGGTCATTTTTAAGGCAGTCATGACAGTCAAACGATTTTCCTATGTTTCGATGCAACCGTCATTTTGAACAAAGAAACAAAATGTCCAGTTACGTTTAGTATTAATTGTTTAAATTTAAAATGAAAAAAATTATAGCTATTCAATGATAAAAAAAAGAAATATTTGTATTTGTATTGTAATTATGTGTGGAGGATAAATCATATGATTCAAACACTGGTTTTCTGTTACACTAAAGCATCTGTTGAAAATTCTAGTATAGTCAAGGGAAGAACGTGAATATGTGTAAAAAATGATGATATTGAAAATAGTATAATTAGAAAATCTACTTTTGATAATGAACGAACTAAATTAACCTATACAGTAGGCAACTATATTTCTCTAAAAATTAGCGGTATTATTTCACATAGCATAAATAATAAATTTTTTATAAAAATGAAAACTCGTAGACTGGTCATAACCTTTCACTGATGACCACAAGACTGAAAAAAAAAGGATTTCTTCATCAAAGTAAAAAGAGCTTTGTTCGGATGATTATTTGATATGACTCCCAATTGCAAGATGATACAGTTGTTGTTTTTCATTCTGTTATCTTTTCATCATCGTCTTCTTCTTTGGAATATGTATGGTGATATACTATCATAACAATAGAGCAGTATTCATTGCTATCTTGACGTTGATCACTTTGTCTTTCTGCGGTCCCTTTTCGTTTTATGTTCTTTTGACACAATATTAACAGTAAAAGAAAAGTTAGCTTTCTGTTTTTATCCGACGATGACGATTCATGGTGACGATTAGTGAATATTATTTTTCTCATTTCTTTCTGTTAGAACGGAGTAGGAATACATCAACTTCGATTCCAGTCAATTCAGTTTGCTATCTAGTCTTAAAGTATACAGTAAATGACCTACAATTGACACGAATTAACTGAAGTTTACGAAAATCAATTGACAGAAAAGGTAGTTGATAACCACTGATTACTTCAGTACTATATTAAAATATATCAAAGGACTCTAAAAATGCTAGAATTAATCTATGTCTTTCTTTGCGAGAAACATGAATGTAAAGTATGTTCTGTCTGATACTTAAAGTGCTGTCGAAAAAAAAAGTGGAAACTGACTGACACGCATTTCAGTATTTAATCAAAATTACATTCGAAGTATGTTCACGGTGTTCATTTAGTAAAAACAAGTATGTTTAAAATTAGATTAACAAGATATATTTCGCTGTTCAATACTTGTTATGCATTTGATTTTTCACTAAAGTTCATTATTCAAATTCTAATTAGATTATTGACAAAATTGTTCTAGCCAAATATATCTTCATAGAAAATACTCTCGTAGACTATTAAAAAATGGAAAATCTTCGCTTTTACATCACTTTGAAATCAAATAAGTAATTCATGTTTTTTGGTTAAGTGGATTTCAACAGATCCAAATATATGAGATTATGCCAAGAAGTATTAGATAAAATGAAGTTCAATGTTTATAATGCAAAATGAAAATCAAATCTGTTCACGATACCTATGATAACTCTTAGAACACATTGATTCAGTGCACATTACTTTGTTTGAATTAGGAAAAAAGTACTCGTCTTGATTATCTAGCACACTTACTCATATTTCAAGATGGTCGATCTTTTGGCGATTTGGGTAAAATTGACACAACAAAACTTTTTTCCTAAAATTATTCCAAGTAATTATAAGTTTTATTAGGAATGAGCATTAATCGATATTTCTGATATATTTGTGCAGTTCAATGTTAGAGATTCCGGACACCATTAAAATGAAGTTTATGTTTTAGAGTTCTAGATAGTTTCTCAAAATCGATCATGCATATTAAGCTATTTCATATTCATAAACTGATTTATTTCCGTTTTAAATAATATACGGAGTAAAGAAAAAAAATATTTTGTATTTATTGTAAAAGACTTTCGGAATTTCTACATGTATGTTGATAGCAGAAAAAAGAAATATTCGGCTTGTCCACGTAACGCGACACTTCGCTGATCAAGTTTCGAAAAATTTTTTTTTCGAGTTGGACAAATCTGAATGCGTTACTAGATGTAGTTTTTAACGCTGATTACGAATTTGACATTTATTTTGTAAAAAAGTTAGGTTTTAGAATCAAAAACCGGGTTTTAAACTTGTAAAAAATCATATTTTGAATTTTTTAACCAAAAAAATTTTTGAAAAANGGATAAGAGGGGTGTGCAAAAAGAAGTGCCACAACCCTCCCCACCCACACCCACCCCCACACCCACCCACACCCACACCCACACCCCACACCCACATCCACACTCACACCCTACACCCACATCCACACCCACACTCACACACCCACACCCACACCCACACCCACAGCTTTATTTCGATACCAACATCAATACCAACGAACAAATGGATTTATGAATTTTACAGGTTACACATCTTTATTATAAACAAGTCGTTGTTCTTGTTCATCTTCTTTCTGATTTTGAGCAGTTGTTTCTGCTTTAGGTGAACCAACTTTTGGCCTTGGTCGAACTGTATCGGTATAATGATCAATAATACGCATTAACATAGGCATTTGAGCAACATATGGAAGTATTGCATAAGAAAGATTAGCAGAGAAAAGAGAAGTTTTAGTCTCATTTTTTTTATCTTCTTTCATATCTTCAACCATATCAATAAAGTATTTGAAACAGTTAACAAAAAAAGGTTTAAATTTTGATAATTTCCTGTGAAATATTTTATCTAATTTTTATTTTTATTAAAAATCATCAACTGACAATGTTTTAATAGAATCTTTTCAACGATCAAATTTCTTTTTAACAAAAGAAAGAAATTCATCAGTAGTTGGAGTTGATAAATCATCATTGATCATAGATTTATTTGAATTAATAAAGTATTTTATTTTATTTTTTTAAATATAGATTGAAGAATGAAATAATGAAATAAAATCTTTGAAAGTCAAACGACGAAAAGATAAAAATGATTTTGAAATTGAAAAATGAAATGAAATGAAATTGAACAACAATATGTAAATCATTGATTTCTTTAAAAGAAAAGCGCATTAATCAACCTTTTGCTTTTTTTTTATTTAGATCAATAAAATAAAAAATAAAGAAATTCAAATGCATAAATTCGAACAACACAACATGATGATAAATTCAATATCATTCGATCAATGGTTATAAATAATACTATTACAAATGAATAGTTTTTATTTCCAATAAATTTATCATCATCCGAGTAAATATAAATAAACAAACACTTTTATTATGAAATTATTTTTCTAGAAATCTAATGAAACATATTTATCAAAATCAACAACAACAATATCATCGTGTTGAAATGATAAATACCTTAAAATTGTAAAACATCAACATCGAATATAAGTCTTCATCGTCGTTCAAATACTCAAAATACTGAACCAATGAATATTAAAAATACTAATGAACATGCTGTTGTTGCTCATTCAAGACAACAATAGCATGAGAAGATCATGTTTATTAAGTGAAATTTAGCTTGAACATAGACCAAAAGGTACAGTTCAAACAGGTAAATTTACATTTTTTTTCTTGTAAAATAAATTTTCTTTTTTTTTAATATTAGAAATTCTTCTTCAAGCAAAATTCCATTTAAAAATGAATATACTCAACAGGCACCAACTAAAGAAGATATCGTTCGAACAACAAAATATGTTTTAACAGATGAAAATCTTGATGTAGACGGTGAAATTGTTACAGATTTTGTTAAAGTAAATTTAGTTTTTATTTAAATATAAAATTTTTTTTAATTTATTGATTAATCAGAGTGATGTTCTTCCATCAGATATTAGTGATGTCAATGTAATTTTTAATGATATTGAGTGATTAACATGTATATCACTACTAGATCCATTAATATTAGATAAACGATGCCAAGATAAAGAACGAATTCTTCAAGAAGTAAATTAAATTTATTTTAAAATAAAAATTATTTTCATTTTTTGGACAAATAGACAATGACCCTCGTCCCATCAGAACCCGGCTGTAACACCTAAGTAAGTCAATATTTCTTTCATTCATTTTCTAATCAAATATTTTTTTTCTTTAGACGACTTCGCTTGTAAAATTATTGATCAATTAACTAAATCTTGTTGTCTCTGTACATTATGATTTCTATATTTTCGTCTTTATAATTCTTTAGTTAATTCTATGTGTATATCTCTTGTTATATGTGAATTTATTCTTGTAGAAAAAGAAGATTATGAAACGAATATATTCTTAACTATGAATTGAATGTCTTATTTTTATAAGTATATTTAATAAGAAATGAATGTCCTAAACATCTCGATATTTATCAGATAATTTTTAATATTCACTTATATAGTGCAAGACAAAGTTCATAAGTATAAATGATTGATAACCTTTAAAATAGGCTACTGGACATATCAAACTTGAATTAGTTCAGACGAAATTCTGTTTTAATGAAAATATGCATTTTACTTTTATTAAAGCACTATCCGAAGCACAAGGCAAACTTTACTGTTTCAAATTTTATATTTTACTCTTTTAATATTTTCTTAGTCATAGATCTGATATTGATCCAGTTGCCTTAGGTGAATTACTAGCAATACTTCATCTAATATCAACATTTGCTTAATTATATAGCTTGTTGTTAAGATATTATTCTTTTTCTTATACAATATTCAACATATATTCCTCGTGTTCAAATTTGTGCCATGTGATTGTGCTAAACAATATGTTTATTGTTGAAGATTAGACTATTCATTTACAAATACTCAGACACTTTTGTGGTTATAATATTCGATTATCTAATGTTTGTATTTTCATTTATGGGCAAAATCAGGTCAAAAAGGACATATTTCTCTTTCATTGGACTTTGATTTTTTACAAATATATTCTTTCCGAACAATTTCTGTTAGCATAGACATATGTAAAAATGTTGGTGCTTGTGGCTGCTACTTAATTATAATTAATTAAGAAGTAATTCATGTATTCGTGTAATGGATTCAGTAAGATTGAATATTTATTGTTTGTGTGCAAATCAACAAAACATTATTTGCGTATTAATTGTTTTATGATTGTTACTATTTGAAGTTGTAAAGAATAATTAGTCAAAATGGATAGCAAATATAAATCAAAAATATCTGATTTTAACACTGTCTTTAATAAAAGTTTAATTGAAAAAATTTTCATTCAAAGCAAACATAAAATTGTATTGTTTTTCTAATCTATTTGAGGTCAAAACGAGACATAACAATAGAAATATAATATCTCCAATCAATGATCATTGAATCGTCAGTTGGAACGATTGCGAAAGGAAAAAGAATGATAGAAGAGAAGAGAAATAAAAAAAACAGTCGGATATGAAACAGCAGTCAGCGATGTTTTTTTCTTTTAGACCTAATTAATTATTGTCAACAGTTCATTAAGCATATTTGTAGAGAATATAGTCAGCGATGAACGAACGAGCGGTCAACATATGTTCATTTTGAGTATATACAATATAAAGAACATATTTTAATGATGACGACAACTCTTGAATCTTTACCAAACGAACTTTGGTTATTGTTTATGCGTTTTCTTGCGCCCATCGATTTATATCGAGCACTAGCAGGTCTCAATTATCGTATTAATTATTTACTTACTGCTGTGATTCCTCATCCAATGCTTGATACATCTGAATGTGCCGATAATCGTATTTTTTTTTCTGATTTCTATCAACTACTCGAAGGCAAACATTATTGGTCAAAATGTCTGCTATCAGCTATCGACACTATCCATCTTGGTGACACGCTTGCTGGCAAAATACTCTGTAATGATTCCAAGTCTCCAGTTACATTATCTTCTATGAATACCTTGTTATCAAATCTATTTCCTTCACTTTGTCGATTATATATAACAGAAGAGGTTATTGATCAAATCAACATACTACAAATGGTTCTTCCAATGAGAAATTCACTTCGTCACCTTCACTTAACATTTGGAGGCAGTTCAAACGATTCGTTATACACAAAGATAATTAATAAATTCATTCATCATAAACTCTCATTCTACAGCATGATATTTGACATCAAAAACGGTAAATTACTCATATTCTTTCATACTTATTATCAATCGTTTCTTTCGTTTTATTTCTGAGGAACATATGCTGGGTCGATAACGAATTTCAGAAGCTAATTGATGCTAACATTTAACTTCCAGAAGTAGACGAATTAGAATTAAACTATTGCGTAAAATGGACTAATATGAACAGTTGAAAATGATCGAATGAATATAGTCTACTCATGAGAAGTTCTATACAATTTCTAATGAATATCGTTTTCAACCACAATTGTATTTACTCAAAAACGAATATTCCTTTTTATAGTAAGAAACTTTCAGCTCTTCATTTAAATGAATCTTAGTAAGACATTACCAAATCTCAAAAGTATAATGAATTTCACCATCCTTTATTAGTGTTGAATTTATATCATTTTTTTTTTATTCCAGCTCGTATTTAAGATTTTGGCGTGAAATTTTGATTAGGAGAGGCTTTGACAAAAACTGAAATAATTAAAAATTTTAAAACGTTTGAATTCATTTTTGTCGATAGAGAGAAGCTGAAAAAAAGTTGTCTCACATTAGACAAATGTTATTCTATAATCTCGAATCTGATATTTGGGTGAAGGTGAAGATACATGCCAAAAGATGTAATTTTCTCTTAGAGATTAATTACACTCTACATTAGAGAGAATTTTCATAATAAAACTTTATATTGAGACTTTTTACAGAATTTTAAATATGAACTGTTATAATATTTCTCATGCATCTACTCATCGAAGTGGAATTAAGAATCCCACTCTTCGTGAATAAGACTTTTGTTAATACTGGCGAACTTTTAACCTGTAAAATGAGAGAATTTAATATTTTAATAAACATTATGAGAAAATTAGAAAACAAAATTTTCTAAAAAATTCTCAGATGCAACTATACATCAAGAATCATAAAGATATTTTCATGAAAACTTTTGGAAGCATATGAAATGAAAAGACTAGAATGACGGCAAAAAAATAATACTAATGCACCTACTAAAAGAATTTTCCAGCTGTTAGTAGAAGAATTGAATGACTATTATGGATAAAAATTTCAAATAGCACATTTTCTCTCTTAAGAAATTAGAAGATATTGCGTTGAAAGAAAAAGGTAGAATAATGAAATTCTAAACAATGTGTTATGATTTTGCAATTTCATGAAAATCTGAAATTTCGAAGTTCATGACCAGCGAATAGTTTTGTAGTTAAATCGAAAATTCGATGTTTTCTCTTTTTAAAGAAGAAACAAATTATACACTTGTCATCGAGAAGTAATCAAGCAGCACTCTATGTAGCTTTTGATATTATAATTATAATTACTAACATTTTTGAAATTTTTTTCAGTAAGTTCAAACAATCATAATCGAAATATAAATAAGTGTCAATGGCAAGAATTATATTGGCCCAATACTGTTCATCTTTCTCTCTCCATTCAACAATCAAGTGACTTATTTCTTCTTCATCATCGTGCATTACCCGTTCTCGATCATCTTTGCGTCACTATTTTCAAGCCAGTCGAATGTTTTACGAAAGTTCTCGAAAATGATTTGCAACTGAAAAATACAATGAATATGATGACACTTCGTCTTCGTTCATTTCAACTAAGTTACGTATCACTTGCCGAACTTTGTATATATCTTTCATCAATATATATGCCTTTACTTGAAAAATTAACATTAATTGATGTTTATGATAATAGTAAGTCTAACAACCTGATGTTATCTAGATAAATAGTTAATAATATTTCAGTTTTTATGAATTTTTTCTCTAATCTGCTTTTTTTTTATTGATACTAATTAAACACATAAAAGAAATCGACTACGGAAATTAAAATTTTATCTCATGAGGAAATCTTTTCAGGTGATAAAAAGCTTTTGAGCTCAAAATTCTTTCACAAGAAGAAATGTATAAACTAAGAAAAATCCTAAGAGGATATAAGTATAAGTTACGATTTGATGAAAATCTTCACTTTTTACTATAATTTTGTTTTGGAGCGTTTCACTGTTCCGACAAAATTAATGTATTGACTTTAACTTAAAAACTTTACTCATATTAAGATCTCAATTAGACTAGCTTGCCTACAAAGTTTTTGAAATTTGGATTAAATTATCTTCGAGATACCAGTATGTGAACAAGAAGGCGCTTATTATAGATTCAGTGTCGTACTTGTATATTATTTTGAATAATTAATATCTCGGAAACAGTTTATGCAACAAATCCAAAACTTTGTAGACAATTAGTCTAATTGATACCTTGATGTAGGTAAAGTTATGGATCAAAATTCGAAACCTTAGTTTTGTCGGAGAAGTGGGACTCTACAGGAAAACTATATTAAAAAGTTGATATTTCAGCAAAATGTAACTTGTGCCCATATTTTCCTAGAATTTTTCTAATCTATACATCCATACACGTGAACAAAGTTTAAGCTCCAAAATTTTTGTGCATCTAGGCAGGTTTTCTAATCAAGCTCAAAGAAAAGTGCAATAGTTATTTGGACCTCTATTTTCTAATATTTCTTAATTTATTGAATCCCAATGTTGAATTATTTCGATTTCTTAGAATTCATTGCTGATTTATATCTTATTTGAAATGTATGAATGTAGTGGTGTAGACAGGAGTTATTTAATTCAAGAATAGCCAGATTTTTTAGAGGACATTACTTTTAATTTGTAAAATTGTAGCACAGATCTTAACATTATGACTAATAGAGCAAGAATATTTATTTCGTCATCGGAATCGTTCTGATCTACTTTTCACACAAAGAAAATCAAAGATATAAAATATATTATTAACGCATAACTAATGAGAAATGTTCTCAGACGAAAATATAAGAGTGACAATTCTGATTCCATTGATTTTAGGATTTCCAAAATGAATGTATAATATCAAAAATCACTGTTCCCTCTTTGACTGATGTGCACATGTTCTACGAGAAAAAAATGAAAACCTGGATTTGAATATATTTCAGAACATTGAGCAAAGGAAAAGCATAATAGTAACAGTATGTGACTGCTATAAAAGACGAAAGAAGCGAAAAGCGAAAGATTTTTTCAGCTAACATCAGATTAGTCGGATATATATATATATATACGTATTTTAAAAAGTAAATAAAAGATCTCAATGTTGCAACTCTTTTTTTTTAATATTTATTTTGTTTTTGTTCCCTTAAGTGTTAACAATTAATAAGTTTTAAAAAAAATATGCTGTGTTTGAAGAGAAAAACAAATATGAGAATAAGAGTGTGTACACAGGAAAATATTTAAGTACAATGTGGCAACTCTGACATAACATAATGATGAAAATAGAACTTACGATCGCGATAAATTCAATAGTACTTCATGCGCGAAAATCACAACTGTTCTGGAACGTTTAAAGATTTAAATTTAAGCAACTACTATAACTTGATGCCACATTTATCATTCAATATTGACGTGTAACTATCCTTTAATCGTTTGTTTTTCTATTAATTTAGCACTCAATCATCTTAACCAATTTCAACAATACTTTCAATCAAAAACAAATATGCCNCCATAAGTTGGCATAAGCACGAAAAGAAGATATTTCATGTGTAGGCGTTGGTTCCTCACGTTTCACCCAATCGATTTTACCTATGTTACGCAATTGATCTGTGTCTCATCAATGAAAATCCATATTTTGAGGTCACTACTTTGATGCTCCACTGCAAATAAATGAAGTTTTTCGACTTGAGTTTGTGTTCATTTGACTTCGGTTTGTGCTCGAATGCCGAAATTGTTAAAGATATAGTTCGAAAGTTGATTAGAAGTTGCAGTTAGATTTTTTGAGATGTACTTGTCCAGTGACCGCTGTTGTTGTCCTCCAGTGAAGGAAAGTGGTCGACCTGATCTTTCCTGTTCAGTTAATAATCCTGTTGTATTTAAGCGAGCGATAGCATGACAAACAGTTCGGCGATCACAATCCAGTTGATGTGCTATTGTATTCAATGCCTTGTTTGGCTTTTGTGCTTCTTTCACCGCAAATAAACATTCCTCATGTGCCAAATTTCGAATTTTTTAATGGTTTCTCGTATTTAATCAATTTAAAACAAAAAAACTTAAAGAAATAAAAAAGCTGAATATGAGTAACGAAGTATCTAAGAATAGTATATGTGATAATAATATTATCTTTTTTTAATGTCCTTATAAAGCGTAAAATAAATGATATAGTCAGCGGGCGAAACTTTTGTCGTCGACTAATTAATTATGAAACATTATCTATACGATAAGATTTTTAGACTCTTCTTTCCTTTCATATGCAGATCATCACAGGCAATTTAATAATATTCTATTATGGATCATGATAGAAAAGTCTTGACATTAAAATTTATTGAACTACTTTTATGAATGATTGAAAGAACAAGCATTAAATTGATCAACAAATTGCAAATATTGGGATGTGGTTGAGACAATTTTCTGTGTTGAATTAAATTGAACATAAGATATCGGTAATATCAATTTAAACTACTTTATCGCATATCACTTTAAAAAAAGTAGCAACAGTTATATCATTTTCCATATTTAGAGCTTACAGCAATTACACTAACAGATTTTTTACAATTTACTCAAATCCACGTCATTTATCTATCAAGTGTATATAATACATTCTGAATGTCTTAGTAGAGAAGAGAGTCATAATAGTGTGGAATAATAAAACTTTATCCTTTGTCAAGAATTTGACACTTAAAAATTATACTCTGGACATATATATTCTCAATATGTATATCTATTTCTCATTGGTTCTGTCATAAAAAAACGTGTTATTGACTCACTTGTCACCGGAATAAGTAAAACCTATGAACGGTACTTGTCCGATCAATCCCATTTTGGAGGCAGATGTATCAAAATTCTACAATAGTTTATTTATTTGGTTATAAAAAATTCAAAAAAGTATAAGAAACGTCTAAGTACAAAGGTAAATCATAAATATGTGTAGACTACTTTTTCATAGAAACAGTACTATTACCTTAGCAGTTTTCTAAATAATCAAACGAAGAAAGTCAACATACTAAATAATAAATTAAACAAAAACAATATACTTTGTCAAATGTTTCAGGTTCAACATCATTAAAATAGGTTGTATCCATTTTACTTTTGACAACAGGAATAAATGGAGGTTTTGCTGTAAAACAATGGCACAACATTGATTTTTTTTTAATCATTTTTTACGATTTATTACTTTGTCTTATGTTATTCCAATCAATATTAACAAAAAATGGATGCTTTTTAAAATCATTAAGTCCATTTTTTCCAAGACGATTATCCGCTGAACAAATAAGTTTTTCTAATAAATCTTTCGCATGATTGGATACTTCGATATCATCGGGAAATGAAAGTGAAATCTATAGAAGTAAACAAAGTGCATTCAGATTATTCATTTAAAATAATCAAAAATAATACTAACTTTATTTTCGCCACGCGCTATTATTCGTCCATAAGTATCAACTAATGTTTCAGCATAGAATGGAGTTGAACCAAATAACATTTCCCACATAACACATCCTAAACTCCACCAATCACATACACATCCGTAATGATCTTGACCATCATTCACTGCAGATAATACTTCGGGTGAAATATAATCAGGTGTACCAACAGATACATTGCTCTGTACCTAAATGAAATGAAAAGCGTCACCAAAAATAATTAAGTCACTTATTTGACTAACTGTTCGATCAGCTCTCATCCGAAGACAAGAACCTAAAATAATCACAGATCTTAATAGAAAAAAACTTGAATTGATATTTTACCAAAATCTGCTAAGCGAATATGTCCTGTACTATCGATTAATATATTGTCAGGTCTTTTAAAATAAATGACGAATAAATCAAAAACAAAAAAACACAAATTCTATAAATATCAAATTACTTAATATCTCGATGAATATAACCAAGTTTATGTAGAGAATCAATTGCTAAGATTATTTCAGCAATATAAAATTGAGTCATATCTTCAGAAAATTCATCATCACATTTCGATAATAAAGTTAAAAGATCACCACCATAATAATATTCCATTAGAAGATACTAGGGAGAAAAAAAAACATGATATTTCAAAAGAAATTTTGTTCTAATTTTCATAATAATTTACTAGATTGTCGTTATCATGAAATGCATAATAAAGTTTTGTTATCCATTGAGGATCACCAAATACGAGAACATCACGTTCTTCACGAAAACAAGCTGCATCTGATCTTTTCAACATTTCTGATTTATTCATTATTTTCATGGCAAATATTTCCTCCGTATTTTTCATTTTGACGACAACAACTAAAGATTAATTTAAGATGAAATATTTCAATTGATGAAAAATACCTTCACCAAATGCTCCTCGTCCAATAGTTTTAATTTTTTCGAAATCATTTCGATTCAATCGACATTGTTTTATACGTGATACAAATGCTTTAACTATGATAAACAATATTAAATCAATATTACTATAAATAAAACAAAAAAAATAGATACCATTTTCGAGATATGCTTTGACTGTTTTTTCTCTTGTCAAGGTTGAATTAGAACATTCATTATTAATTACAAGCAATGCATCGAGTAATCCATCAATACTTAATATAGTTGGATCATTTTTATAATCATTTAATATAAGTCTTTTGATTTCATTGTAACGAGATTCAACATTGATATTGTTATTATCATTCATTTTGTCAGTAGGGTAATGCTAAAAAAATGATTACGAAGATTTATTCAACATCATACATAATCGAAAAAAGACTATTATATCAGTACAGTGTGTTTGTTGATTATGAGTTTAGTGATAGTTTTTATTTTACTATTTACAGTATGAAGAATGCACGAGACAGGTTTTACAATAGACAAGATAAGAATTCGGCCCATTCACCTTAAAAAGGCTCGAATAAAACTAAAGTGAACTATAGTTCATCAGTGACATCTATGTAAAAAAACCTGATTGAAATATTACTACTGATGACAAATTTCAAATTAACAAGAATCAATTTATTTATATACAAACGATACTGAGACATTCTGACATGTTGATGGCAGTTATCAATAATAAATACTAATACAGTCCTGATCAAAATTATAGAATCAATTGTTCGAATCGAATTGTTTGATAAGTTTCGAAAATTTCAATATTCTTATGCAAAGCAAAATTTGTGTGAATATATGTATTTGGATGTATTCTGTCTGTAGTGTGAAATACGATTTTATTGACATAACTGTCTGATTATATGAGATAGATGCTTTTTTAAGATCTGTCGATTTTTATTTGATCAAATTTATACAATCGATATTGCAATTTTGTTCTTCTTTTTGAAACCTGACATCAGTTTGGCTCGAGACTGATCCTGAGAACTACAGAACCTAATCCTAAAGATTCTCATGAAAGCTGCTTTTTTTAAATGGTTTTGGTTCGAATTTTTAATTAGACTTTGCTACTCAAACCAAAAGAATTGGAATAAATCATCCAAATTCCGTATTTCAGCTAAAACTATTCAAATTTGAATGGGACTGCTTGTTGCAGTATTACTTTGAATAGAAAACACTTTCAGCTAGAAAATAAAATATAAGAGAGAGCTCCTTGTGTCATTATATTACATAGATAGATATTATGTCATAATATACACTGCTCAAGTCAGTTCGTAATGCGCAATGAACATTTTCAGCTCTTCTTGAACGTTACGAACTAGAGACTTGCTAAAGCTTGAAGAATTTGACACTAATGAGTACACGCCTAATACACATTGTTGCCACGAACGACAAAAACCACTATGAAGTAGCGTTCAAGAAGGAATGAAAGTGTTCCTTGCGCATTATGAGCTAACTTGAGTAAGGTATATTATGACGTGATACCTATCTCTCTAACATAGCTAAACATGGTTTCTGCTCGAATTCATATTGAAATAGACAGTCCCATTCCAATTTGAATAGTTCTGGCTGAAGTATAAGACTTGGATGATTTCTTTCAGTTATTTTGGCTTGATTAACAAAGTCTGATTAAAAATTCAAACCAAAAACATTTGAAAAAGGTCACTTCATAAGAATCTTCAAAAACAGGTTCTGTGGTTTTCAGTATCAGTTTCAAGTCAAAGTAATGTCAGTTTTCAAAAGCTAGAATAAAATTGCAATATCGATTCTATGAATTTGGCCAAACAAATTTCGACAGGTCTTGAGAAGCATCTACTTCATATAGTCTGACATTTATGTTAAGTAAATCGTGTTTCACACTACAGACAGAGCACATCCAAATACATTGATTTACATAAATGTTTCTTCGTATAAGAATATAGAAGTTTTCAAAATTTATCAAACAATTCGATTCGAACAACTGATTCTATAATCTTGACCAGGAGTGTAGAATAGACTGCTATTCGGTAAACAATTTTTATTTTATTGGTCTCGTTTCGCAGCATGCATTTGTTACGATACGACCAAATACAAATCTCAAATAATCCTACATTCAACTACCAAAGGGAAATTATTCACATGAGCTCACACATACTTCTATTGAACTACTATAAAAGATTCAAATTTTGATATATTAGACTAGAATTTTACTTCAGCCCTGCTAGAGAAATAGAGTTCTCAGCAGAAATATGTTGTTGATAAAAGGGCGTACAAAAGAGAGCTATTTCAGGGCAAAGTATTCTAATTCTTCCATCCTGTGAGAAAACTCATTGAATCTAGTAAAATACGAAAGAGTCGCGTCTAAAGTTGGTGGCATCTCAGAAGCGAATTCTTTCAAAAGAATTCAACTGACAGAAACCATTGGGCTAACCAACACTCCAATAGGATTAAGTCGAGTTTGGCTGGATGCGATAAAATCCTGTAGGAAGACTTTGGTCTTCAATCATGAAGAAATGCAACTGCCTGACAAAAGTCTAAGATTCTATTTTGATGAGTTCTGACACTACTGAGTTTCCTAACAAAAACATTAAAAAGAAGCATTTGCAAACCAGTAATTTAGCTCTTTGAGATGTTCTACCCTTCTCTTTTTCCTTCGCCTCTATGTTTTGATAATATTTTGTACAGAGTGGAAAACATCACTTATACATGACTAGAAAATGGCAAAGGAAAAAAAATAAAATATAACAAATGCTTAATCAGATGACAGCTGATTATCGATAGGATCGATATTATTAAAAGCAATATTCATGATAACTTCATAATATTCACGAAATGGTTCAGAATTTTAAAGAATTTAGACATAGCAGTGGATCTAATGTACTGAATGATTCATTGTATGACTTATTTTCTAATTTTTCTAATACAAATTTATTGAAAAAAAATTGGGGAAACAGAATGCTGAAAATATACAGATAGCTTTTTATTATAAGTATGTTTATGCTTCCGAATTATATTGACTGATCTAGATGAGCTCTGAAGAAGATTCAGCTCACTTACAAACAGCTGAAAACTTCTTAAGATAAGTTTAAGCTAGACATAGGCGTGGATACAAAGAAGATTGTTATGCAGATTCACGCCTGCACCCTCGATAAAAAGCCACAACGCTTCATCTTATTATTAAATGGTTTGATCATATGCCTTGCTTAATTTCAGATAAGGTAGACAAAGATTAGGCTAAGCATCAACTCTAATAGAAAAGTAAGATTAAACAGATATACGAATATGAATCTCACGATTTTGCTGTATACAAAGATTAATTGTTTGAACAACAATGATCAGACGCGTATAGATATGCGAGAAGAGAAGATCACACCAACGCTCTCACCCATTCTCCAAGAATACGATCTATTCGATTATACAAATACAGATAAACTGAAACAGGTGAAATATTTAGAAAATTTAAAAAAAAAGAGATAATCAAGCAATGAAGTATTTTATTCACCAACTTATTTGTAGTGTTGACTAATTGTATTGAATGATGTACATTCATTCTGTCATCAATCATACATTATACTTTAAATACAGTATCAAAATCATTCTCGTAGTCAGCATTCACCTGAAACCAAATAGATTCTCTATGGAAAGAACGAGAGGAGAAGATGGAAAAGAATTCTGCTCAGGAGTGTACATTAGAAAATATTATTCTCAAAAGAAGAGTTAACATGGTCATGGACAAATTTGTTTTCATAATGTAATTAAAACGATAAAATAGAATACTGTCAAAGTGCCAATTTGTGCAATCGATGAGCTCTTTTTTTTAAAGAAGGCTAATATATTCAAGAATTAATCCTTTGTATTCTAACAATTCACACTTCAAGTGCATTTTCATTCAACCGTGATATCAATTCAACAATAATTTATATTCCTTATGTAATCCAATATCAAAGAAAGTGTGAAAAGATTTAGTAACCTTATTATATTGATTTTTATTGTATTTTATCTACTAAACGACAGTGTGATACTCTGAATACAGTTTTGTCATTCTCAAATGAAGTAAATTTCAATGCATAGAATAATGTTATATAAACAATAAAAGCTAAGCTACATTTTTCAGTCAGTCAATTGATTGACTAATTTTTATTTAATTTATTCAAAGCTTCTAATTAAAGAGACGACGTAATTAACCAAATCGATTAATGTGATTTATCTTGATGAAGTTGGTTATTCAAAAAATATTAAAAATGTTTAAAACGAACAAAGTTAAAAGAAAAGAAACATATCAAAATGTCTCTTTATCTTAGCATGGAATCAACAAGAACGATATTAGACTTAGAGTAGATTCGAAAATCCGAATTAATCCATGTTGAATCGTTAAAACAAATCATATAAATTTTGTCCTCCTGATTTACTTTTATTTATCGTAAGTCTTGAGAAAATTTTAATTTGTATTGCTAAGAGAAAACATTCAAATTTGCCTATAGGTATATTCTAAAGCAATAAATAAATCAGATTTGTCGTTCTTTTTAATCAAACAAAAAATTTCGAAGAGAATAAAAAATTCATCAGTATTTTCAACCAATCATAAACATTGTCACCTGTCACGTCATTCTCGAAAGCAAAACAAAAGATAAGATATGTCTAATATGATGTACTTCTTTAAATTCTTTGCATCAATTAATCTGTTTCTTTCTGATAAAGCAAGTGGTCAAAAGTTTTATACAAACAATCTCAAAATAGGTTCGGCGCGACGAAATTACTTTAAATAATTTAATCGTTTAATAATTATTTATCGTTATCTAATAGTATGATAGAAAAATGGCATACACAAGTTCATTTACAACATTCATTAGAGATATGATTCATTTTTTCAATTAAATTAAGATCAGACTCATGATTATTGACAGATATTAATGATCCTTGCATGTCCATTCGTCAAATTGGATTTTTCATAATGAACACATCTTGCTTTTGTGGATGTTTAATTGCTTATGACAAAGGTATTTCAGTACGAAAACATAGATCAGCCGGTTCATATATAGAACGTTCATTATTCAGCTCGAACTCGCAGCCAAGTGCATGTAAATTAATCTTTTGTATTCTAAAATGGAGAGATCACAGTCTATTTTGATTAATTAACTCCATACGAAGTATGCATTGATAAAAGTCACCTGTTCGACTAATATTACTTACTGTAAATACAAGGTGATCCAGTCGAGTCATCCGTATTAGTTGAAACTAAACCCGAGTAAGATTTGAAAAAAAAAAGAAATCAATCTTGGATTAGTAATTGAAGACAATCTATTGATTTTCAATTTGAAGTATTCACTGATAGGTCTATCCAATGTTTATTGCCATTGTATCAAAATTTCATATAACCTTTCATTCAGAGATAAGCACAAAAACAGGGCGCTCGATTACATATTGATGAGGCGAAATGAATTTCATTTAGTTTAAACAAAATTAACCTTAACACGACCTATAAAATGAAATTGACTTATCAGTTATATCCCTTCTTCTTCTTCTGATTGACATTCAGATAATGAATAAATGACGTAATTGACTTTCTTGAGATATTTCAGATATCTTTCAAAATGTAACATGATAATTTTTTTTTATAATATTTTGCTCATCACTGAAAAAAGAATCATTAGTTCATGTTCATCTAGGAATATAGTATTGATAATTATGTAATTGTAATTGAATAAATTTGATTTGATCATGACGATTTGTATTGAGTGTGAGAAAATACTTAAAATGAAACATTTATAACGAGAACAAAGATATTCATTAATTTTTATCTATATACAATTAATTTTATTTTTACTAAGTGTTCACTGTATTTATATTTATTAACAAAAAAAAAGAAAAAAGAAAATATTAAATACTGTACAATACTAACAAGTGAACACGGGATTAAACACTCATATATTTAAAAAGCTCTTGGTTCTACAACAAAACTATAAATTCTTGGTGACTGAAAAGTTGGTATCGTTTTGTTTTTATATCTCCAAAAAAATAAACATAACCGAATACATGTTAATATACATGTTATACAAAAAATAAAACGAACACACCAAATGGCAGAAGAAGATGAAGACAATTCTTCATGTGAGCGAAAAACAATATCTCCCAAAAGCCATAAAAAAGCGAGCCATGGTGATAGAGTAAATGCAAGCGAATTATAGAAAATAGCATTTTCAAGAATAGATAGTGTAATAAAACCCAACAAAAGAAGAAAACATCCCATAATAGAAGCTGTTGATGGTGAAACCGTATTACCATAAATAAGACCTATGATGATTGACAAACAAGTTTCATAGAAAAGAACAGATGCCCATAAAGCTAAACCATTATGATATAATAATCGTGTTAACCAAACATCAACAAAACTTAAACAATAGAAAAAAATTATTTTATTTCTTTATTTTGTTTATAGACAAAATAAGTAATACGTACAATCTATTTCTCAAATAACTTTTTAAATTTTCCCATAATGATACATGAACAACAACTAGAATAATAATTAATTCACATAATGTTCCCAAATGACGAAATATTGAAATCTAAAAGAAAAATAAGAAATTTCTTTAAAAGAAAAACGACGAACTAATTGCATTAGTTTTATTTACTCCAATTCCATATTTATTTCGTGCAGCAGCTGCTAATTGTGGTGTAAACAAAATAAGACCAAATACAGTATAGAAATAACACCATTTATTCATAGCACATGGATGTTGATAGAAATAAGTACCTGATGATGTACGACGAAAAATGCCAATTATTGAATATATTATCCATGTAGACTAGATTAATATTGACATATGTAAAAAATTATTCAAAAAATTTTTTATTGACTTTTACCTGCCAAATAAAAACAAGATACCAAATATATGAAATACTTGAAGATGTTGGAGTTAATTCAGTTGGATATCGATTAAGAGATGGAACATAAAAGCCAGCTTTGAAATCTTCTACATAGGATATTTATATTTAATTAAGTAAATTCTTAATATGAATACTTACTTGATGAGTAAATGAGATCAACAGATATACGTTGACAGACTTGAATCATAAAGAATATAATACATATGCCCATATAAAGAATATGAACCCAATCATGTCGATACATTGCAATCGGTAGAACATAATCATTTTCTACCAGTGCTATATCCATTAAAATATCACTGTTTTCACTGTTGATTAAATACTACATAAATAAATGAAGCATCTTGTTTGTTCCAGTTCTTCCTTCCTTATTGGTGAGATAAGTCATAACCAATAGAATACCGAAGTTGAATGAGAACAGCGCTCTCTATTAATATTGGTCTTGCATATTGGTGATAGAGCTAAAAATAAATGATTTTTCTATATATATTGTTTAAAATTTTTATCAAAATAGTTGAAATTTGCTATATTATAATTTTTCTAGTACATATTTGAAAAGAATATTTCAACGATAAAAAAAAAAAATGATGCTTCAATAAATAAATTTCAATGTAGTATTAGAAAATCATTTTAGATTAAATTTATTAACAAAATAACTTTAACTATATTGTTCTCATATTCATCTGTTTTCTTGTGAATTCGTAGATTGTTCATGTGGTTTTATTTTATGTGATAATTTTATTATGTAGTCATGATGTGTCATATATATTTTGAAAAGCTTCTAGGGAGTGGCAGATTTTTCATCATATCGTATCCAAGAGGAAAATTCTTCATATGTGAAAAAAAAAACGAGTTTAAGCTTATTTAGTTCTCTCTGATAGTAACGTAATTAAGGTAGGATTAGTTCGAATTTTGAATTATTGAAGGTTTATATGTAATTCTAGGCTGAAAGTAATCGTGAGTCTTTTTTTTTCTTTTTATTCCTGAAACCATTAGATGTTGAAAGCGCTTATCAGTATTTTATGTCATTTGAGATTACTTATATTTTCTAAGAGAAACTAAGGATTAATTGGAATTTTTTTTATAAATATATAAATAAAAAAAAAATGAAACCTAATACATCAAACCAAGAATCATCTTATCTTTCTTTCCATTGTTCTCATAGAAGAAACAGAAGCTAAATGATCAAGAACCGTATACTCCTTTTCTATATTTAAAGGAAGCATCAACAGAATTTGTTTTATCTGAAGCATCAAATCTGTTGTGTATAGTTGATTCAACTAGCAATATACATGCTGATGCAACCTCTATACAAAATCAATCTATATCAACATTGTTAACATAAAATATATCATCAATATTATTATTCTTGATACCTACTGATACTAGTCATCCATTAGCTGATTCATCATAATCAAAGCTCTCAGCGTGTTTCATTTCATCATCATTTAGTAATACCAATGTGTTGTGTATAAAAATTGTTAGTCTCTGAAAGAGGTCAAAAACACGCTGGTGTGACGAAGAGCTCAGTTTCCTCTCACATGCTTAAATTTCTGGTTATGTCGCTATTCTGACTATGAGGAGAATGTTAAATGGAGCAGAAATCTTTTGATTTATATTGAATGATTAGAATCGGACGATTAACAGTTTGTTTAATGGTTTTGAATAAAATTTTCTGAAATTTCTCCTATTCTCATCCAAGTCTTATCAATGAAAGTTACAATGTCTGTTATGGATAGAAAAAAACATAGCAATAATAATGAGTTCAATTATTTTGACAACAGTAATTAAATTTGATATTGTAATAAGTGATTGTTTTAGACAAGTTCACACTTCTATTAATGCACTTTTAATATCATGATATAGTATTTGCAGCAAATCATTCATTATTTATGCAATATCACTTTGTCGATTAATCAAACCATAGACGATTATCATGAAAAATAATAAAGTTATCGTATTTAAGCTGTTGTCACATAATATAGTAATTACATTTAACAACATTGTTTCCAAGTGCGTCATACTATAAGGGAAATAAGTTTTGAGACATTGTTCTGTTTTTTTTTTAAAGATTCTCCGTTCGAATTTGAAAAATCATCAAATGGACATATTAGAATTATAGATATCCATTGGATGAGATGAATTAATAATAATATAAGTATAACGAATGTAACAGATTGATAGAACTGGTATATCTAAGAAAAAAGTATATTTTGTTAGTAAAAATTATGATAAATATTTAAAGAAAGAAATTTGTTTGTATGTAGAACTTACTGTCTTTTAATATAAATGTTTAGATAAATTGTAAAGAATAATGAATGATAAAGAATCTAGTTTGTAAATGAAAATTTTCTGAATCGACCTAAGAACGCACTTTTATTCATTGGTGAAAATGACCATTAGGCTAAGTGACATTGTTCATGTTAAACAATGGCATATATAAGAGAGGACGTTGATTAATAGAGTTCAATACAATACAATTTTTCTGTTCTACTTCACTTGGATTATGATTATTTGATTTATTTAGACTTTTCGAGCTTTGGAAAAATAAAGCCATAATTTTGTAGCTGATATTGAAAGAAGAAAATCGGATTTCGATAAAATGTTCTTGAAAAAAAAAAGTATTTTTCTATTATAGTTATTAGCCATGATTAGAAAATTCATCATGTATTGAAGTTTTATCACGGTGAATAAAAAATAATTCTATCTTAATTGTAGAATTACTTTGAGTGTAGTGTAATTATTTGATTTTTATAAATAGATGCTTGTTTCAGTATGTCATTGAGCTATTTTCCAAGGTTTAGCACAAATCCTTCTTCATCAAAATGCTTCTGATATTTTACTTCAATATCTAATTATCTTAGATATGGAAAGATTAGTTTGTAAGATTTATTATATATTTTTTTTTAAAGTAATCTTTTAAATTAGTTAGTGTATGTCATTATGAAGAGTTTGAAGAACGTCGTAAATCCGTTTTAAAAGAAAATTGCAACTTTCAATGATGAGATTATATTATTTATTAATGAAACATAGTTAGTTTTTGATGCTGGAAAAACAGAAGATAGAAGTAAACTTGAAATTTTTGCAAGAAAAAAGAAATATTTTAATCAAGTTTTTTTTAGTGTAACCGGTGCAATAAATTGTTTAGAACAAATATTAGATATCTAATGAGCAAGGCATCCTGAATCGCGTTTCGTATTATCATCGTCTAATATATTTTTTTAAAAATAAAAACAAAATATACGACAAGATACAGCATAAGAGACCCTACACTTTACAAAGAAAAGTTTACGAAATTCTGTTCGACCAATGCTACGAACATGATCATATTTTGTTAAGGTGTGGGTGTGAGTGACAAGAAGATACCCACATCCTTGCTTTTTTAACTGAGTATGAGTCAACCTCGAAGTATCAAATGAAAATTCTATGTTCGGAATTTTAACGCTCACCTTCTCACAGTAAAGAAAAAAATTAAAAAAAGTGCCATTATCTTAACCTATGTAGTAATGAGATCTCAGTTCAGGTATGACAAGGACACGAGCTCTTTCTTAGTCTCACTGAGTCCTACTCACAGCTAAAAGATGCAGTCGAAGAGTGTCCGATGATTGGATATGTTCTGTCGTTAGTTATCTACAGTTTTGTTATGGCAAAAAAAATATTTAAATCGATATTTGTCTATATATGCGAAAGTTATTGAATTTATAATTACGCAATAAAAATCAACTAGTTTCTAATAGAACAATAAGGATTGTGTTTGATAGACGATGAACTAGAAAAAGTAATTATATATTAATTTTATATTGAATTTTTGACTTAAAACTGTAGACTTAATTTTAAAAAAGTTGACTTAATCATTCTACATGATTTCTTATGTTTTAAACCGACTGGAATACAACGAAAAAGTTGGAAAAAATCTATTATACTAACGTAATTTATTCTCATTTAACTTACATTTTATTCTATGGTATTTGATTTAATGAAGCACTAACATATTAAGTAAGTGACAACTAAAATTATGAGACAGATGTATTTTGAAATGATTTTATTACTCATTTAATAAGTGATAGGAATATATGCTATGCTATTGAGACAAATAAAGAAAACAATAATCATTTGGTTTGAATCTATTGACATTATTTCATACGCATGTTCATAAGTTGATACAAATACATTCAAGTGACTTCGTTCGTAAGAATAATGCAGAATGACTAAAGCCTTTTTCTCTTTCACTCATCACTATGTTTAATGAAACATTTCTATTTATATAACTATCTTTTGTTGACTTCAAAAAAATAGTTGCAATCGACTTTTCAGAAAATTTGAAATTTCATGGATTTTGTAAACATGTTCAACATCATTGTATTATTAGCAATAAGAGAGAAAGCTTATTATGTAAGATACTGTACTGTAATGAAATATTGCTATCGATTAAAAGAATCTTTCTGATGAGAAATATTTAGTTGATTTGTTGGATCTAGATTGTATTTCATATAAATTAATGTAATATCCATTACAGAGATATAAAAACGAATTTCATTGGTAATGACTATAGGTGAAATTGTTTTGTACGATTGTCGAACTTAATTGTCATGTTATATATTTGTTTAAAAACCTACAATGATTAAAAAAGAATACAAACAACAAGCTTCTGTTTTGATTACATTTCATCATCATTTTTTTAATAACGATTCTTTCATAGATTGAATGATGAAAAAATAATGCCCATATTTTTAAGTCAAGATATACATTTAATAAAAAGAAAAACGCTTATGAAAAAAAAAAAGCAGGCGACTGAGATGGATATATTCATTAGTAACTCTCAAGTATCATGTGTTTTGAATTTTGTTTGTGACTAAAAACAGATGATTACAAAAAAAGAATGAAAAAAACCAAGTGATACAAAGAAAATAATAATGACTGCTATAGTTTCATTTATTTGAGTATCATAATATTATTGTCATTGGAATGAAACCATTCTTTTTATTGAGACAAGATTTGAAACACAAATTCTTTTGCCAATTAAAATAGTATTCAGAAGAAAATGTACAAAAAAAATGAAGCAGCTTTCGATTTTCTAACAAACATTGATCCTCTTAGCAATTGTAATAGGATAAATAAGACCTCGAATATAGATCTTCGAAAGATGTAGTTGCATTTCAAGATCACAAAAAAAATCCAATCTCTCGCAATAAGAAGAATAAACGACTACAAAGTCCTTTTTATTTATCAAGCATAACTTCAGCTAAAGAGTCATCAATGTTTATTAGATGATAGTCAATGCAACTGATA